CAAGAAACTTGTGGGTGTTTGGGGTTTATGGGTTTCAGGATTGGGGGTCGGCAGGAACCCTTGCAAACCCCCATCTGAGGGTCCATGTATGACACCCAAGACCTGTACAAACAGAGGGCTTTGGGTTTAGAGTGCATGCCCTAAACCCGAAACCCTAAACCCTCAGTTAACCTCGGTCGGATTCTTACAGCCTAGATCCTAAGCCCTATCCGAATACCTAATCCCTAACCCTAAACCCTAAACCCTAAACCCTAATCCCTAAACCCTAAACCCTAAACCCCGAACTTTAAACCCTAAACCCTAAACACTGGTGTGCCCAAGCAGCTTAATCCTCTCCGGCAGAATCGACACGCGGTCTTCGTGGTTCTCCAGGATTGACCCGATGTATAAGGACGGAGCAAACATCCTTGGCTTCTTTTGGGGCTCCGAGTATACTTAAAGGATCATGGGACTTAGTAACTAAGGGCTCCGAAAGGGATCTATAGAGCTCCTTAAAGGGACTTATAGGGTGTGGAGTTTAGGGTCTACTTGGGAGGATCATGGGACTTAGTAACTAAGGTTCTAAGTACCTTAATTGGGGTTATATGTAGTTATAAGTCGAGTTACCCTAATTATAACCCGAGTTACTAAGTCCCATGATCCTTTAAGTAGTGCTTTTTTGTTTGAGGTTCAGGGTCAAGCACACGAAGCCTCATCCTCTAGCTCTTTCAATGTGACGGGACCTTGGAATCGTCTCTCCCCACCTAAACCTGGTCATGTAGGGGCCTTTATTAATACAATGGGGTTTTGGGGCCCATTATACTACAATTATAACAATCCCAACCGAAACCCGGAGGCCCCAATAGCCCTTAATCAAGGAATATACCTCAAATTATTGTTGGATCCCTACTATGATTTAAGGCTATATTCCTTTATTCGGGATATTGGAGTCTCTGTGACCCTGGTAGAGGGTTGGTTAATCGGGGGCCTCAAAAGGTAGGATGCAGGTAGGTGGGATATTCCCATATAAGAGTCCTTATATAAGGGATCCTTAATCCCACCTACCTTCATCCCACCTTGTGAGGCCTCCGGTTCCGGGCTGAGCCTAGGGAAGCGTCTTCCCGACCGTGTCCACCGCCTCCATCTCGGCTTTGTAGCCACCAGCCATGGCCCGACTATGTGCAGCCAGTGATGCGAAACCCACAACCCCCCTAAACCCTAAACCCCTAAACCCCTAAACCCCTAAACCCCTAAACCCCTAAACCCCTAAACCCTAACCAAAACCCTCACCGGAGATCTGAGACCCTGAGAATCGCCTTCGATCTATACCCAAGGCCGCTAAGTGCAAGCCCATACATAAAGCCTATCGACCCCAAGAGACCACGTACCATAAGATGCCCGAGGAAGCTCTTGCATGCGAGGGCGCATGAAGATGTGTCGTCTGCACTGGCTTGAGGGCGCGGCTACACAAAAGCCAGGCTTGGGTTCCGGGTAAAGTGTTTAGGGCTTCTTGGAGGACCATGGGACATAGAAAGTAAGGTTATAAGTACCTTCATTGGGGTTATAAGTAGTTATAAGTAGAGTTACCCTAATTATAAACCTAGTTACTAAGTTGGGACCCCATGAGCAAGTGCGTAGGAGTTGCAACATCAGGAACACCAGCAACCGCGGCAGAAGCCGCATGGCCCTTCATGTACACATAGCCAGAGTGGCGTTACCAGGCGTTTCAGCTCTCTTCGTTGTCCGGTGTCTCAGGTGCACAAACACTAAACCCTAAAGATCCCTAAAGCATGTTCTGGAGAGAGTCTGGGAGAGCTTGGGACTTGGTGTTTATGCTGCTAGAACTTACACCCGAAGCCCCGCAAGCCCTGAGCCCCTCCACCCCTCTAAAAGCTTCATAGTACCTTCACTTAGAACCTTCATAGAATCCTCCTGGGACCCTTGCAGAACCCATCCTTCTTTCCTTCTCCTTGCCAGTCTCAGCCCCGAAACATGTGAGTTTCCCAAAATAGGGGACCCTAATAAAGTACCCTAAACAGTAAGATCCTTATTATAAGTACCCCAAAATAAGGAACCCCCCTACTTCTCGGAAACAACCACATACGTGGTTGTCAAAATTATGGTCCCTTTTGGGGTACCCTAAAATATTAGGTGCCGTATTATAAGAAGTATCCAAAAAGGGACCATGATATTGACAACCACCCACATGAAACGCTGAAATCCCCGAGTCCCGGGTCCCTGAACCCTGCAAGAAGCCTCCCGGCTCTCTGCACAAAGCTCGGAGGACCGGTCCTGGTGTGGGTGGTGAAGGGCGTAGGGTTTGGGTTTTTTGGGGTTTAGGGTTTATAGGGGCTTCCAGGGTTTGGGGCTTACGGTTCTATGGGGGTTTATGGTTTAAGGCTTTAGGGTTTAGGGCTTAGGGTTTAGGGTTAGGGTTTGGATTGAGGGTTTAGGGTTTAGGGTCCTTTGAGTTCGGCAGAGGGTTCTGGGGGTTTGAGGGGTATAGGCTTAGCCCGAAGGCCCTTACGGATCTAGGGCGTAGGGTGTTCTCAGAGGCAGGGCTTCTGCCCTCAACCCGATGGCCTATCGTTAGTGTCTCGTCGGTCTCGTCTTTTGTTATTAGGATGATTGGCGGTATAGATATGCGTATGTTTGTGCTGCTAGCACCATGATTAGCTCTCGCTGGGGTTCAGCTCGCAATCAAGACAAAGCTTGCGGCCGTCAGCACGTTCAGCACATGACAGGCCGTGTCTGGAAAACCCTGAATACCTGAACCCGAATACAAAGCCGCAAGCCACAAGCTATGAGCACCTGCCTCTCCAGACGCTGTCTTATCTCAACCAGTGGCTCTGGGGTTTCGGCGCTGCTTGTGCTTCGGAAGTCGGCTTAGATGGAATGTTTAGGGAGAGGGGCTCCGGGCCCAGTGAAAAGCCCACAGCCCTGAACGCCAAATCCGAAAACCCAACAGTTTAGAACAAAGGCAGCTGCGGTGCAATATACGGGCCTTCATAATTAGAATAGGGTTTTGAGGTATGTTATACTATAAATACGATAAGGCCATAAGGAGCCCAAAATAGTATAGGTAATTATTGAGGCCCCGATATTAGGAGCTGGCCTTGAGCCCCAAAAACCTGAAGCCTGAGCACTGTTAGTAGGGAATGGATTATGGAAACTATTATTGGGGAATATATAGGGACTACCACAGCCCCAAACCAAGTTCCGACACATAAAACCTTGAACCGAAAAGACCAAAGTTAGGGTTTAGGATTTAGGATCAGGGTTCTTGGACAAAAGGTTGAGGGTTTCAATTGTCAGACTCAGGGTTTTGGTGAAACACAACGGATCGACTCGGAAGCCACAATGCAAGCCAGCCAAACAAGCCCGATTAGTTGAAAGAAGGGTTGACTCTAGCGAATGACAGTGCTTTTAGCCCAGCCTATTACAAGATGCTTACCCGAGAATCCAAAAGAGGCTTGGCTTTGGCTTTGGCTTCGCCATGAGCACTTGCGGTTGAGGACTTCGTGATAGAAGGGCTGATGCAAAGCCATCTTTTCCTGAGCTAAACAACCCCTAAACCCTAAACCCTAAACCCTAAACCCAAAACCGTCACGACACTTTGGGCGTCGGGGTTTACTGAACCCTCGACCGGGCCAAGGGCCAGGGGAAACATGACCTTACAACCATGCACCAGGCTTTTCGAAATGCATTTTAGGTTAAAAAGCGACAACAGCCAGGGCTCCAAGGCATGGTAACCCTTGTAGTAACCCAAAAACACCCTTGTAGCGACCCTTTTTAAACCCTAAATCCCTGAACCCTAAACCCTAGTAACCCTGAACAGAATCCTTGACCTTCTAGTAACCCTTAAACTTAAACGCCTTTTGTAAGTAGCCCTTTAAAGGGAACCCCATGATAGAACCCATGGTACCCCTTGAAGGGAACCCTGCATTATAGAACCCCACAGTACCCCTTGTAGCAAACCCTTATAGTAACCCTTACATGATCGCAACCCTTGTAGTAACCGATAGCAAACCCCCTAAGCCCCTAAACCCCAAACCCGACACCCGAACCCCCTAAACCCTAAACCCCAAACCCTAAGCCCCTAAACCCTAAGCCCCTAGATTTTGATGCCAAGACCAAATCCGAGGGCCTCAGAGCGCCTCAGTGCGCTGCGGAGGGCTGGGGCCTGGCCCAGACGATCGTGTTAGGGCTTCAAGGCTTCAGGGTTTCAGGGTTTTAGGGCTTTTAGGGTTTTTAGGGTTTTTGGGTTTGAGAGTTTCAGGGTTTTAGGGCTTTTAGGATTCAAGTTTTTAGGGTTTGGGGGTTATAGGGCTTTCTGGGTTACGAGTTTAGGGTCACGGGTTTAGGGCTTGGGTATTTCATAGGGCTTTATGGGGTCTTACAGGGCTTCTTTGATCGTGTTTGAAAGAGCGCGGCCTTACACATTAGAATAGGGTTGTAAGTGTATGTTACAGCATGTAATACATATTAGGAACCCCGACACATAGTACGAGGGCTTTGGCTCGGATTCTGGGTGCATGTCAGGATTCAGACACCCTAAACCCTAAACCCCAAAACCCTGCACCCTAAACCCTAGGCCCCTAAACCCCCAAACCCCTAAACCTTAAACCCCTAAACCCCTAAGTGCGTGGAACACGCTATCAGGATGCTCCCTGCGCAAAGGATGACACACCAAGGTGCGCAATACGAAGGCTGTTTTTGCTCGAAAAATTGTACGGAGCCCCGGAGGGTTCTTCTGACGGTAGGGCTGTAAGATTCAGGAATCACGGAAAACAGGTGGTCTCATAAGGCGCGCGTATTGGGTCATAATCTTGTCCTTCGATCTAGCGCAAGCTTTGGAGACTTTGCCTTTCGAATCGATTCCTTGGATTGTGGCTGCCGCTCGGATTGCATCTACTTAGGGTTTAGTGGGTGGTTTATTTCACGTAGGTTATCAGCCGTAGCCGGCTAGGTTACGGGCTACGAGACTTGTTCGGGGTCTAGTGTAGATTCCTTCGGGAGCCATGGATGCTCTTCGCCGTAGTAGGAGAAACTTGACTGCTGGTGATCCGGAGTTGGGAGATTCTGCTATGGAGCCTGATTATACAACAGCCTTGGGTCAAGATCTTGCGCCTCATGAGGGTGTTGAATCCAAGCATGTGGGAGAGGCCTCTCCGGGAACTCTCGAGGAGGGTGGGGCTATTTCGCAGTTGGATGAGGGGCCTATTGCAAGTCCATTTCATTCTGACAAGGTCAGGGTGGAGGTGGCTTTGGCACGGAGCAGGCCTAAGTTCCTCGATGACGATGGGCGTAGGGTTAGCGATTATAGCGATGCGGGGCTAGGGGATAACAGCTTGGCAGGGCGCCAAGATGAACCAGACTACTCTGGACCTGTATCAGCTCAGATGGGGCTGCCAAGGGTGGCAAGGATTGAGCATGTGGCGTCTCCGGGGGCGGCTTCAAGCGGCAAGGGTCGTGATGGTGTAGAACATTTCGATACTGCTAAAGCTGGAGCTCGGCAATCGCCGGATCATGAAGGGTCTACCGGAAAGGGTGTTGGAATTCCTGGCACTGCAAGACGGGTGTCTCAACCTATTGATTTGGATCCTGAGCCTCAGGGTAATCCCGAAAGGCCGAGCGTTGATGATCATCGGGAGTTGGTACCTGCGGAAGCTAGTAAGGCCGATCAGCTTGAGGTGATGCTCCTTCAAATCATGGAAGAAAATAGACTGCTCCGGGATAGGTTGGATCAGGTTGAGAGGTCTAGTTGGCATTCCGGGGGTACTAGGAATACGGGTGATTTGGCTGGTGCATCACCTATGTCTTTCGGTCCTGACCATACGCTAGCGGTGCAACCTGTACAGGCTGAGCCACCTAGAGTGCAATTGGATGCCAGTGGGAATGATCACCGGGATATGAGAGCCGGGGGTTTAAGTCTAGTTCCATCTCGACAGCTGGAGCTAGTTGCTCCAGGCCAATCTTCTGGACTGCGGAATCTCAATGTGGGTGCTTCCCAAGCCGGATTTTCAGGGCCGGGCGACGCGTTGTCGCTGGACGTTAGGACACAGTCGTTTAGAGATTTCAGACAGATGGTTGAGGATCAGGGTCAGAGTAGTAGGGGTGATGCGGGCTTTCATACTCCGAGGTCGGGCCCTTCTACGGGGTTGATGTTCTCTGGGGATGGTTATCCGGTTTCTCCTGGAGGGACTGCTATCCGGCCTCCGCCTGGACCGCCACCTACTTCGCCACGCGTAGCGCCTGCGCCTCCTGTTTTGCCTAGTGGTCTGGATTGGGCTGTGCCATGTGCTGCTTCGCCTGTCGGTTCTGGGATGCCCTGCGGTTCAGCTGCTCCCGGGATACACGGGTGGCCACGGTATGGGTCAAGGAAGTGTTGGAGGGGCTTTCGCGGGTTCTGTTGGGGATCTTGGGGCTTCTTGTGGGGTGCCTGTTGCCTCTGGTGGTAGAGGGCCGCTTAACCCAGAAGAGCCGGCGAAATACATCAACGAGCTTCCGAAATTGACTCAGACGGACTTGTCACAATCAGCTGTTGTGTGCGGGAATTGGGTCGCTCAGATTCGGCAGATCCTTGTGGGGTTGTCTCCTAACGCAAGTACGTGGTGGCTTGGTGTTGAGGGTCCTGCAAATGAAGCATATCAAAAGTGGTTGGTGGCTGACCCGCTGGGGAGGTTGGCGATTGATCCCTCGATGGTAAAGGGAACCTTCGATGCATACATGTTTAGCCGGGTAGAAAGTCGGGCTGTAAGCTTGCTACTTTCGGCTGTTCCACAGGGGGTTAGGGAGGATGTTGTTACCAACCGTTGGCTTTCTTCGGCGGCCATCCTTTTTAGGATTCTATGCTTGTTTCAGCCTGGAGGTAGTACCGAACGAGCACACTTGTTGAGCCAGCTGGTGAACCCTGGGGTATTTAAGGGCTTTTCGGAGGCACTAAAAGGTCTGAGGCAATGGCAACAGTCGCTGCAACGGGCAGGAGAAATACACGCCACCCTTCCGGACCCTAGCCTTTTGCTTAAAGGGGTGGATGGTGCTACGGGGTCGCTTCTGGCTGCTCACCCTATGGTCGGGTTCAGGGTAAACGCGTTTCGACACCGTTCTGCTATCGATTATAACCCGTCCGTGGATGGGGTTGTTCAACTAGTGAAACTTATTCGGGCTGAATGTGAAGCGGGTTCCTTAACTATGGATCCTCCTGATAAAAAGGCGCGTGCGGCCGCTCTTGCTGCGTCAACTGCTTCTGCGGAGGTTGCTTCGGGGGTTGAGCCTAAGGGTCCTTCTGTTTCAGCGGTGCAAACTGGAAAGGGTGGGGACTCTGGGTCGGGTGGACAACCGAAGGGCAAGGCTAAAGGTAAGGGGTCGGGGGAAAACGCGTCACTGTGTACCAACTTCTCAACCGCCGTGGGGTGTCGCTTCGGGGATGCTTGTAGATTTAAACACGACCGAGCGGTAGCTAGGAAAGAGAAGCGGTGCTTGGCCTGCGGACAATCGGGACATTATAGGCCAGAGTGCTCTGTAGTGCCGGAGGAGCATAGGCGGATTCAGGTTCCTGATCGTGGTTCGGATGCCTCCCCTAAGGCTAAGGCCAACCCGAAAGCTAAACCCAAAACCGGTCCGCAGGCAAAGGGTGTTACTGAAGAGTCAGCGAGTGCAGCTTCGATTTCTCAGACGCCGCAGCCAAAGGCTGCTGCCACTTCGAGTGCAACGGCTCAGCAGGAGTTGCTGGCAGAAGCTCAGAAGCTACTTAAGGGCGTAACCTTGAAGGCTGCTAGAGTTCAGGATTGCGGTGAGCTTTCAATTGATAGGGCCTGGCTTCTGTCGGCTATCGCTAGTGCGTCAGACCCTGATTTTGCGCTTGTGGACAGTGGAGCCACAAATGGGTTAAGGCAAGCGGAGCCGGGTGAATGGGAGCGTACTAGAGCCATTCAGGTTGATCTAGCTTCTGGAGTTGCTGAGCTTCACATTGATGAGAGGGGGACTCTTTTGAGCCAGGCTCCCTGCCAGGTTATAGTCCCTGCCGGTTACTTAATTGAACTGGGTTATGTTGTGAGCTGGAAGAAGAAGGGCTGCTTGATTACTCATCCTAGGGATGGTAGGCTTCGGGTACAGGTAGTTAAGGGATGCCCACTGATTTCGAGGGATGATGGCTTGAGATTGCTACGGGAGTATGAGGGTCTTAAGGATAAAGGAAATTCCCCCCAACGGGCGGCGGTTTGTCGGGAGAGTGAGATTGTTGATCCTGCGAATGCACGGGCTTGGTTATGCAAGATTCTTCGCTCCAGGGGCGAACAGGGTCCGTCTACTGAGGAGCAGGAGTGTTTTCTCAGGGGGATGTTTCCCGAACTGCCGGATAATTGTGTTCGGAGGGTAGTTTGTCCGGTGTTGGACCCTGGAGACGTGGATCACTCGTCTCACCCTTGGAATCGGCGCTTTCGTCGGTCTGTTGCGTGTTCGAAGCCTGGCGGTATCTTGCTTCATATGTTTGCCAACAAGAAATCCTGGAAGGGTTTCGACCGGGTGATTAGCCTCGGTAAGGATTACCAGTCGGACATCCTGAGTGAACCGGTGTTTAAGTATGTGATGTCGTGGGCCAGTTCAGGGAAGATTGGTGGTTTGGTTGGATCATTGCCGAGAGAGTCGGTCTGGCCTGGCGGTCAATCTTCTGGTCCCCAGGAACTTTTGAGGGGTAGGTATGGCGATCGTTGGGGTTTGGAGGGCTTAACCGGAGAGCAGTCTAGGGTTGTATGCGATGAAACGGTTCAGTGGTTCCGATTCTTTCTGGTATTTGCGGTAGCACAAGCGGTTAAGGATGCTGAGAGCGCTCCGATGAGCTGTCCTGTAGCGGAAAGGGGGGAAGAGGAGGTCCCTCCACCTGGGGTCGAGGATCCCAAGGATTTAGCTTTGTGGGCTTTACGGGTTGCGTCTAAGAGGATTAGTGCTGCTGCCATTAAGAAAGTCAACGAGGGGAATCGATCCACTGTATTCTTGACCTTTGAGCATCCTTTTGATTTCACGGAAGGTTCCGGCATTGGTCGGACGGAGCTCGCTGGGTATCCTTCTATGTGGGCATTTAGGGAGGTTCAAGATCTCGTTGGGGTGTACGGGTTGCACATCGCATCATTTGATCAGGGATTGCTTGGTGGCCGTAATGGGGAGCTGACAACGATTGCTACCTCTTCGTGGTTTCTGTATGAGGGACTTCATGGAGTTGGTATAGATTTGAAGGGTGATCCTAGTGGGGAGTTGAGGCCTTGCATTGAGTATTTCGGGTGGTCCATTGGGTTCCTAGCGCGCGTACAAGGGGCTTGGTTGGATTGGTGTGCTGGGAAGGAAAGTGAAGCTGTAGTAGCTGAGCGGAAGGTTTGGCTAGCTAAGCTTTCTGAGAAAGAACTACTTCAGCAGCACGCTGATAACGATCATGTTCCGTTTCTTCGGGGTTGCCCGGTGTGTATAGCTGCACAGGGTAGGCAGAGAAGCCATTGGAGGGCCGAGGTAACTAGCCTGTATTCTCTTAGCTGTGACTTAGCTGGACCGTTTAAGGACGGGATGAGTTTTGATGCTACAGCTTCTGGTAGAGATAAGGGCAAAGGGTATAAGTACTTCTTGAGTGCTGCGTATTCGGTGCCGGTGAAACCGGTGTATCTTCGCCCAACGGGGGTCGAAGAGCCTCGCCCAGAGGGGGCGGAGGATCTCGATTACTCTCCTTCTGAAGCTGAGGGTCCGGAGGGTCAGGCTTCAGGTGTAAGCGGGTTGGATGCTTCGCTTATTGTAGAATCGGGGGAGTCTGATCTGTTTGACGCTTCGGGGGGTTTGGGCCTGAAGGCATTGTTTCGCAGAGTCCGGGAGAAAACTTTTCCTGCTGTTGATCCCCTGGATTCGAGTACTTCCTTTGCGCATCAGCGAGTCGCTGAGACAGGGCCTGAATCTCCGGGTGATAAGGGTCAGTCTTCGGTTGATGGTGTAAAGGTTGAGACAAAGACTTTGTTTCTTGGGGTCCCGTTAAGATCCAAACATGGTCCTGCTGTTATGGCACAGATTCAGGCCCTTGTGTGTCGTCTTGAAAGCGCAGGGTTTCCGGTTCATCGCTACTTTAGTGATAGGGCTAAGGAGCTGAGGAGCCATGATTTGGTACGTTGGTTGCGCGATAAGGGGATTTACGCCTCCTTCACGGCTGGGGAAGATCCTCAAGGTAACAAAGCGGAGTTAGGGGTGCAACATTTGAAGCAAGGGGTCAGGAAGCTCCTGCAAGCTTCGGGTTTGAGTAGCTCCTTTTGGCCGCTAGCGCTGCTGCACACTTCTAATCGTAACTTCCACGAACTTTGTGCAGCTTTGGGTCAACCACGGCCTGCTATGCTGAACTTTGGTGCACCTGTTGAGGCCAGAAAACGCCTTAAATCGGGGCACAAGAAACATTGGGAGCCGCGTACGGTTCCTGGTCGTTATTTGGGACAGGCTCCGGATTGTACGGGTGGACATCTAGTTCTAATTGGCAAGAATTCGTCGGAACAGAAGGTTCTCCTAACCAACACTATTTATCCATTGCGTCCCGAGCCTGCGCCCCCTAAGCCCAAGTATCGACTATCGGGTAAGCGCTCGCCCGGTTTTGCAACTCGAGCTGTAGCTGCTGTGGCCAGTCTCTGGCCTTCCCGAAGACCTCGTGCATCCAGGTTGTCACCTGGGGGGGAGTCCTTTGAGGGTTCGGATGGAGTCCTGGGTTTTTCGAGTGAAGGCGCGGGTCCTTCCTTGCTGAGTTTGGGGGCTTCGACACCAAAGGATTCTTCTCGGGACGTAGAGCTTGGAGAATGGGTCGAGGTGGATTCGGATTTCGAAGCTGAGCAGGCGATGTGCCTGGATATTCTTGATGAAGAGGATTCTAGGGGCTTAGATGTTGGGTTGAAGGCGGTAGCCGAGGAACAGAAGGAGTGGTTGAAAGAGTTGATTGCTTCCGGCTCCTACAGTACTGATGAGGTTGTAAGGGTTTTAAGAACTTGTGCAGGCAACCTGCAACCGGCGAATCGGAAGATTATGGGAGGAAAGGGAAGGTATGCTACTCTTGGCCTGTATAATCAAGGGGGTTTCAACGGTGTAACCCGGTTTGCCCTTGATAACCAGGAATTGGTGAGGTACTTGAATAGGTATGTTGATTCGTTCGGTATGGGTGGAAGGTATACGACGCTGTACTTGTCATTGAATACTGGAGTACCAGTGCACCGGGATATCAGGAACGATATGACGGCCCCGGTTTGGATTGTAGCCTGCGGTGACTTTCAGGGTGGTGGCCTATGGATAGAGGGCGAAGCCGGTCAAGGTCCCGTGTTAAAGGTTCTTCCGAATGGGGAGACGCGGTGTGGGTGGATTCAGGACATTCACGATAAACCTTTTGTTTTTGAGGGTTCCAGGTGGCACTGTACTGAGCCTTGGAGCGGTAGGGACCGGTGGGTGATCGCAGCCTACGTTCCTCGGGGAGCTGGAAGGGTGATCAAGGATCATGCCCAACAACTTGAAAGCCTTGGGTTCAATTGTGATGGTTTGATTCCTGGGATTGGGAATTCAGGGATCTCGATTTCGAAGTGTAACCAGGCGTCGGTATCGTTTGCCGATGATGATGCCCTTAGCGTTGAGGGTTCCTGTGCTGATGATGAGTATCAAACTTCTGAGAATGACATTTCTTGGGAGATTGATTTTCCGTGTGAAGTGCTTGAGGGTGATTGGTATCCAAATGTCGTTCAAGCTCATGCTGAGACTGCACGCTTGCGCAAGGCGTTATCGCAAGAGCTGGGCGGATGTTGGGATTCGTTCTGCTTTGATGGATTGTTTGGGCAGCTGAGAGCGGCTGAGAATCAAAGGGATTGGTATGAAGGGCTTCTCTGGGATGAGTTTCTTCGGGGTTCAGAGATATCCTTGAGGTCGCTAAGTGCAGTTCCTTTGGGCAGTGATGAGCCGTTACCGGCTTCAGAGGTGTTCCTTCAAACTAGGACGGTCTCTATGACGGAAGCTAGGCGGGAACTTCCGTTGTGGATTCCACCGGCGCAGGAGGAAGTTACGTCTCTTGAGGATGTCCATGAAGCAGTGATTAGAATACAAGTTCCGGATATCGAGGCCCTTGTTAAGGCTGGTCATCGGGTTGTTCAGGTTCCGGGGAAGGCCGTGCTTACGCGGAAGTCCGGTGTAGGTAAACGTCGGTTTCGATGCGTGGCATGTGGGAACTTCATCCCTCAAAATGAGAACACCCAGAGCCTCTACACCACTGGAGTTGAGGGTGTGACTTTAAGGGTAGCACTTGCTTATGCTGCACATATGTCTTGGGTTGGCCGGACCGCCGACATTAAGACTGCATTCCTGAACGCCCCGTTAGAGGAAGGCTATGATAATGGGACAGAGGAGATTGTAGTTGTACGCCCTCCTCACATTCTTGTGGAAATGGGACTCCTCGGTGTCACTGATCGGTGGCGGGTAGTTAAGGCCCTGTACGGTCTAAGACAGGCTCCGAAGGCTTGGGCTGTGCACCGGGATAAGATTTTAAAGGCTTTTGAGTTCGTGTACAAGGGTTCGCGCTTTGTCCTGAAGCAAGCGATTGCTGATGAGTCGTTATGGTACATTATAAAGGCGGACATCTCGGATGCTAACAACTATGCCCTGATGGTCGTGTACGTCGACGACATCTTGGGATTGGGACCGAGGGACCTTTTGGTATCGCTCTTCGAAGCCATTAAGAATATTTGGACGATTTCAGAACCAGAGTGGATTGTCAAGGAGAAATCTGTAAAGTTCTGCGGCATTGAGTTGTGGGCACTTGATGACGGCTTCCGTATGTCTCAGTCGGATTACTTGAGGGAGCTATTCGCGAGGTATAACATTTCCACTGGTGCGAGCTGTCCTATGTCATCCTGGAGCGAACCGGAACCCGAGGTAGATGCAACAACAGATCTGATCAAGGAAGCCCAAGGGGTCACAGGTGCACTCCTATGGGCTGCTTCGAAAAGCAGACCGGACATCAGCTACTCTGTCTGTAAGCTTGGGCAGTACGCAACAAAATCGCCGGGTATCGTCGTCAAGGCTGGTATGCAAATCCTTAAGTATCTCTTTGACACTGTAGAGCTGGGCATTGAATACAAGCGAACAGCAGGCACAGCTTGGTTGGACACACCAATCCCGAGAACGGTTGGTACGGTAGAGGTGTTCACTGACGCTTCACACGCGCCGGAGGGGGCTAGAAGCCACCAGGCGATTATGGTGATGTGGCTTGGCAGTCTTATCGCTTGGGATTCATCCCGACAACCTTTCACAACACTGTCCAGTGCAGAGAGCGAGCTGGTGGCCATAATATCTGGGGTGTGCGCGGCGGAATCAGTCGGGGCTATCTTGGAGGAATTAGTTGCTGAAGACCTTGTGGTATCGGCGATGTCCGACAATCAAGCATCACTCCGAAGCTTCGCTGCTGGAAGCCATGGCTGGCGTAACCGCCACTTAAGAATGCGCGCGGCCTCGTGCCGCGAAAGAATCGAATCTGGTAGTCTAATTGTCTCCTTTGTACCGGGAGAGCGGCAGCTGGCCGACTTAAGCACCAAACCGCTAGCAAGACCAAGAATTATGTACCTACTAAATCTGCTTTCAATCCGTGCGAGGTCGCAAGACCAGGAGGTTGATAATCACGGACGGGTGTTGAGTAGGCTCTGGTTGACTTCGCAGCTTAAACCGGTGGGTTCAGCCCACATGTTAGCGGGGTTAGCGTTGCTTGCAGCCATACCGGAAGTGAAAGCGCAGCCTAGTGGAGATGCGGCTTTGGAGTACTATGGATGGTTTAGCTGGTTGGTTAGGTGGATACTTACCGGGGTCGGTTTAGCTTTAGCTTGGTGGTTTGTGTTTCGCAACGCGGATGCGGACAATCTCGAGGAGCAACCGCTTGAAATATCCCAAGAGTCTGGCGTGCACGAGCTAGCTTGTCAGGGTGATCATGGGTTGTTTGATTCGGACGCACCGGGTGTGATTGACATTGGCCATGAGCCAGAGGACTCTGAAGATGAGGATTCGGATGTGTTTGACCCCGACGAGTGGCTTAAGTCCCAGGAGGCATTGATTGCGAGGGAATTGAGTACAGGGTTGACTTTTATTCAGCGGGCTAGGTTAAGGCAGCAGCTTGTAAAAGGGGATATGATTGACCCTCCGGTTATGTCGCAGAGGTATGGCCCCTTGCCATCTTGGTTCTCCGGTGCTGAGGATGCGGTTGCGGGTTTAGGATCGGGTTCTCAGGTTGGGGGGAGCAGCTCTAGTAATGATCCAGCCGGGTTGATGCCACAGACGGTTGGCGCTGGGGTTGATTTCGCGACTTCTCAGACTGGGGGGAGTAGCTCTAGTGGTGATCCAGCTGGGCTGCTGCATCAGCATGCTGCCGAAGCGCTTTTAAATCAGAGTGAACCAGCTGAGCCAAGTTTAGATTATGAGGATCTGGTCCAAGGGGACGAGGAACCGGTATTTCCCCTGGTAGGAGGGTATCTAGTTCGAGCTGTTGTCGGTAGAAGGGGAAAGGGTTTTGATGTTCCTTGGGGATAGATCTGAGTCTTGGTTTAGGCTTCGGTTGACCTCTACTCAAGTTAGGTTTGGAGTAGCCGGTTCACTGGTTGAGATTCTTAGGCAGGGACCTTGGGCATTGGTTTTTAATGGGCCTCAGTGGCTACTTGCCACAGAGGAATACATCCGACGGGGGTGTGTTGATCCGGGCTTTGAAGAACCATTGGGAGTATCTCTGTCAAACGTGGCACAATCATCTCATGAGGTTCCCGTCAGTGGTGAGCTTACTGAGTTCCCCTATGTCATTTGGGCTCCTTCGGACTTTGTTCATTACCTGAGACGATTGCTGGCTTTGAACGGCGCCACATTGTTGAGCTTGCTTGGTAACCAGTCGGTCGAATGGGTGCGGCTGAGGACCGTGTCGAGATCCTTTCAATCTGGGGTCGTGCTTGCTTTAGTGGTATGGCTTCAGGGTCGAGGGATGATTAGCCGAATGCTTGACGGTCCAGTGTCCTATGACGTAGCCACCGCTTACATTAGTGGGCGCATTGCGCCAGATTCCGAGAGCGAAGATGAAGCATTGGATGATTATCCGCATCGCGATCCCGCCTACCAACAGCATCCTCCGGTGCCAGTGTTTGCTCAGATGTTTCAAGAAGCTTTTGAGGAAGCTACTTCGTCTGATGCGAGTGTGACTTCTACTACCGAGCCTTCGGTTTGGAGTGCGAGCTCTAGTGAGGTTGAGGAGCTTGGGCAAGTCGAGGAAGTCGCTGATAGCTTGAGTCCTTCTGCTCCGGCTGTTACTGGGGTCCGATACGAAGCTGAAGACGGGAAACTTTTGGTTTATTATGCTGATGATGTATTAGTTGTTCCTCTGCCGGGGTGGAGCCTCGCGCAGGTTCTGGTTGTAGTTCAAGGGCTACGAACAGGAGTGTGGGATGACTTTCAAGAGGCTTTGGAGGCTGTTTCAGGTGATGGGGTCGAGGCTTCTGGGTCCTAAGGGGTTTCTAAAATTTGGCTAGTGGGATTGCTGGGTCTCGGGTTTGGGAGCGTTTTAAGATTCGACTGATAGTGGGTCTCGGAATTCTGGGTTCGGGGATTGGTCTGTGCGCCACGACCGAAGGTTGTCGAGATCTGCTTAGGTGATGATTGGATGCTCTGTGACCATGTGATTCGCATCGCGCGGTGATCATTTCCCACGAGTGCTGTCGGGCTCCTTTTTAATCACGATGAAAACAGCTTTGAGTCGTTGATGGAAGGCTGTAAGTTCCTTCCTTTGATCTGCAGTCAAATAAAGGCTGTGGGTGCCTAGTTAGCTCTTGATGATTTCCCGTGGTAGACAATGTTTCTCCAATTTAAGATTGGGCTTTTAGAGGTCCTGTTAAGCTAAGTCTGACAGGTCGTTTGGAAACACGCTGAACGAGGGAGATTGTCCGATAGTGTTGGACGCTGGAGACTTGTATTTCAACTATCCCCGAAGGGGACCCTCACGAATAGCTCGAGGTGATCGGAATTGAGTCTTAGCTTTTGTCCTTAGGCCGTGTGCATACGTAGTGTCGAAACAGGTGGGAACATCCTGAATCCCGTGCAAGGGCATGTTTTCCTAGTACCTATCCCCTGGCTCTTGTAGGACCAGGTGAGGGGGAGTGCGTGGAACACGCTATCAGGATGCTCCCTGCGCAAAGGATGACACACCAAGGTGCGCAATACGAAGGCTGTTTTTGCTCGAAAAATTGTACGGAGCCCCGGAGGGTTCTTCTGACGGTAGGGCTGTAAGATTCAGGAATCACGGAAAACAGGTGGTCTCATAAGGCGCGCGTATTGGGTCATAATCTTGTCCTTCGATCTAGCGCAAGCTTTGGAGACTTTGCCTTTCGAATCGATTCCTTGGATTGTGGCTGCCGCTCGGATTGCATCTACTTAGGGTTTAGTGGGTGGTTTATTTCACGTACTAAGCCCCAAACACCCTCTCAAACCCTGGCAACCTCGAAGGTCCGTGCACAAACCCTGCGCCTAGCCTCGGCGACAACAGCATCACGACCTTAGTCTGGGAAAGGTTTGGGTTTAGGGCTTAGGGTTTGGGGCTTAGGGCTTAGGGTTTAGGATCTAGGGCTTAGGGTTTAGGGTTTAGGTTGTGCAATGGCACCACGGACTCGGAACAAACAAACGACTATGACTAGAGGTACCACACGATAACGTACCAGCGAATATAGCTGGTTGGATGTACTACAGGAGCCTGCAGAACGGTGAATCAGCATTGATGAGACCCGGACCCTGCATGTGACAGCAGAGCGCGGTGCGCGCAAAGTACCGTGGAAATACTCCGATGTGCGCATGTTCGGATACACGTCATGACAAACATTACAACAGCTGAACAATAAAGTGACACCTGCTTATCAAGCTCACACTACAATGCCTGTGGCTGCTTCTCTCCAGGCCGAAACTCGAGCACGCAATGGCTGCGAACGTCTTGAGTCCCTGTCAGCCCGAGAGAAATGCCTTGCATGAGTGCGGTCGCCTTCTGCAAAGCCCATGGCGTTCCGAACGGAGCGCCTTTACAAACCTCCACTTAAACTTAGTTGCTGAGTTCGTAAGCCCAAAAAAGTGTGCACTTTTAGTTCTATAGTGGGTAATATGACCCCAAAACGAGTAAAGTGTATCCGCTCAGCTACTAAGTCGCCAACCACCCAGGTCACGGACCCGCGAGACCCTCGAAGCACCGCTCTGCGAATGAAACCTACCTGACCCTAAACCCTAAACCCTGAACCCTAAACCCGAAACCCTAAACCCTAAACTTTGAACCCTACGGAACCCTGAACCCTAAACCCGAAACCCTAAACCCTAAACTTTGAACCCTAAACCCGAAACCCGGAACCCTGAACCCCGAAGCCCTAAAGCTTAAAGCCTAAATACCCACGGCCTAAAAAGGCATGAAGTCTTTGTCTCAAGCGGGACACGTACGCTGCACCGTCGGGTCGTCGGCTAGAAGCCAACCGAAGAAAATTGCGAGGAGTGACCCAAGATCTTGGGTCTCGAACTGGAATCTTGCTAAGGATCTTACTTCAAGCTACCAAAGTCGGATATACAGTGTGTCAATGGGCTTCCCTACCATTGGTGGTCTAACTTTGGCTCCTTAACAACATATCAACAAATGAAAAAGCAAACGCAAATAAATTTCTTTTGTCTATATGATATATCTATATTTAAAAACTTCTATTTATCTGTAAATTAGATAACTTACACTAACCTCCTCACCAAGAGCCCAGCTAAGCATGGGAGCCCTCCGCTGTGTCAGCTCTGTCCTCAGGGGCCTCCCTCCTCTGCCAGTGCGTCTGCTTTCCAGACTCCCACCAGCCAGAATTCCAGCTGCTGCCTGTCCAATCCTCGGAGTTTAGGGTTCAGGGTTGAGGGCTCGAATTCCGGCTGCTGCCTGTCCACTCCTCTGGGTTTTCGCTTATGAACGGTTAAGGGTGTAGAGTTTAGGGTCAGGGCTATGCTTGCGTAGGACCTGTGCGAGCAATAAGGCTTGCTTTGCTATGCGCCGACAGGGCCTGCGAAACCATGACAAGGTTGGTTTGCAGGGGGTTCTGGGTATGGGAAAGTGTTCAAGTCACCATCGAAGGAACATATCTAGTATAATGGCTGATATGCCTTATTATGGCAAACCCTACACCCTACTCCCTAGACCAAAACCCTAAACCGTGAACTTAGCTCCCGAACAAGAACCCAGAATCCTGCGACCACCAGTCGGACTTGTAGCCATTGCGACCACTCCTCACCAGACGGGAGTTTCCGAAAACAGGGGACCCTGATATAGTACCCTAAATAGTAGGATCCTTATTATAAGGACCCCAAAATAAGGTGCCCCGAATTCTTGGCAAAGTCCCAGACGGCTAACCAGGTTTTGGGGTGTAGGATTAGGGTTCAGGGTGCAGTGTTTAGGGCTCCGGGCTTAGCGTTTGGGGCTTCGGGTTCAGGGTTCCGGGTTTACGGCGTCGGGTCTAGGGGTAGGGTTCAGGGTTTAGGGTTTAGGGTTTAGGGTTTAGGGCTTAGGGTTTGGGGTTCAGGGTTTAGGGTTCAGGGCAAGATTGAGGGTATACGGGTTTGCGGATTGGGATTGAGAGTGCAAGGATGTAGGGACAGCCAGGGATGCTCAGGCTAGAGGCTGTAGGTTTCCCTCATCACTTGTCTTGATCTGCGGACCCTATTGCCCGATAACATCACACCTTTCCGGTGATTAAACATAGAACAAGCATGCATGCATGGATGCATGATGATGCATGCATACACTCGCACATACAAACATGCAAACATACAGACATGCGAAGATGCAAGTTCAAGCATACAAACATACATGCAAACATACGTTCTAGATACATACATGCTTACGTACATACATACATACATACATACAGACAGACAGACAGACAGACTTTCAGACAGACAGACAGACAGACACGTATTAAGTGGTCTATATTATGTATTCACGCATCTGTGTACTTACTTATCGAAAACTTGCCCGTCTCTCTCTTTACATATCTTACTTGTCATGTGAAACCCTAAACCCCAAAACCGTAAACCGTTCAACTCCAAAACCCTAAACCGCACAACCCCAAAACCCTAAACCGTTCTTGTGCCAAGTCCTCCGCTGATTTCGGCCCTCCCCGGCGCGGGATTTTGCAGCCTCGGAGGCCTTGCCGGCGGCAGGGGCTATGCCGCCGCGCGCCTTTCGGGGGGCGTCGGTTTCGGGGAGCTTCGGGTTCGGGGAGCTTCGGGTTTGAGGTTTAGGGTTTAGGGGTTAGGGTTTAGGGTTTAGGGGTTGGGGTTTAAGGTTTAGGATTTACGGTTCAGCGTCTAGGACTTAGGGTTACGGAATCGAGTTTAGTGTTTCGGGGGTAGTTTAAGGCAAAAGGTTTGGGGATCAAAAGTTTAGGGGTTTAGCTGGCGCACATGAGCGGTCAGTGAGGGTCTGCATACGGGCGTTCGAAGCGGATACTTCCGGGAGGCGCCGATGAGAGTTTCAGAAACTTCAGGGTTTACAACCCCAACTTTAAGGGATATAATAAAGGGCTCTTTAAAAGGGATCTATAGGGGTTCCTTAAAGGGATCTTTGGGGTTTAGGGTTTAGGGTCTACTTAGAGGATCATGGGACTTAGTAACTAGGGTTATAATTAGGGTAACTCTACTTAGAACTACTTATAACCCCAGTTAAGGTACTTATAACCTTACTTACTAAGTCCCATGATCCTCCCAAGTAGACCCTAAACTCCAAACCCTTTAAGGAGCTCTATAGATCCCTTTAAGGAGCCCTTTTACTAAGTCCCATGATCCTCCAAGCACAGCAAAGTGCCACCTTGGCAGTAGAAGCCTTCCGCTCGCCGTTGCCGCTGCTCGCACCTTCACGCTCCAGTGCTTCCTGTATCTCGGCGACCTCAACTTGGCTGACTTCTGAACCCCGCCCAAAAGTTAAACTTTTAGCCTCCTGATTATAGTTCATATGGAAACCCAAAAGTTAAAGTCCTAAGAGCCAACCAAGAGAACACCAAGTCAAGGCGAGTTTAAATCCCGAGGGGGCTGGGGTTAGTTTAGGGTCGAATGGGGCCATTGGGTCGTGGGGTCCTATTGCCTGAGGGTCGTAGGGGTCATTCTTGGGGTTTTCGCACTAAGGGTCGCGTTTTCTGCACTGAACTCCCTTTATTTCGGAAAAACTCCCACCTGGACTTATCCTCCACGGCTTCAGGGTTCTAGCAAGGTGGTAAGGGAGCAGGATTGGGGCATCGAATGTTTGGAAACCATGCACCTCCAAAGCGGCGAACATTGCCTCAATCTCCGCGATTTCGTCTTGCTGGCGGATGTGTTCTTCCTCCTCCTGGACGTAGCACTGTCTCAGGACCCCATATACTTGCCTAAGCCCTACACCCTAAAACACCTCTAAAAGCCCTAAACCCCTAAACCCTAAACCCTAAACCCCGAGGCCTAAACAGAAGAGTTTTCTGGGCTCCGGCTCCTGGATTTGGTCGATGGATTGGTTCCTCGGCTGCTCCGATGGGATGGCATCACCTGGGTTCTTGTTAACGGATTGACTTTAAGCTACCATAATAAGGAAGCCAGATCATTTACGATAGATCTCTATTATGGTAGCTTCAACCTTGAACCCTGAACCCTTAAAGCAACCCTTGCAGATCCCTTAAAGGAACCCTTATAGATCCCTCAACTTAAAATAAACTCCTTAAACCCTAAACCCTGAACCCTAAACCCTGAACCCTAAACCCTAAACCCTGAACCCTAAACCCTAAACCCTGAACCCTAAACCCTTTTCAAAAGCCCAGTCACGCCCCCAGGAGCAGGTCGTGATCTTGGCCTGCTTGGCACTCCGCTGGGAGGCCTTCACCTTCCCGAAGCTGAAGGGGTTTAGGGCTTACTTGGAAGGGCAGGGGACTTAGTAAGTCGTTCATAAGTAGGGTTATAATTAGGGTAGCTCCATTTAGGGTACTTATAACTTTACTAAAAAGCTACTTGCTAAGTCCCCTGCCCTTCCAAGTAGGGTTTGGGGTTCAGGGTTTACGGTTTGGGGTTGGTCAGGCTGATGATAAGAGAGAGACCTTGATAATGACCATGACCATTGATCTTCAAAACGGAAAGTAGTGGTGGTGGCCGTGATAATGATAGTAACTGCTAATAACAATACTGAGAATCATCACCATCACCACCATATTCTACATTAATGCTGGGGCCTAGTAACCCATATTACTGCTCAGGGCTCCTTGATGTAACTACATACTACGCTACGCCGCTACGCCCCCAATTTATTCCCAAAGCCGGCCTTGCTCTTGGCCCGGGCTTCCTCCTCGATGATCTCCGGCAAGGGCACGGAAGCCTTGGCCGCCTGAGGTCCCTGAGTTCCCCAGCCCTGGCCCGGGCCCCTCTCCTGGGCTGTTGTCAAGGGCTCTTTAATTCGCTTCGGCCCCGGCCGAAGCACTCAGAGGTTAGTGACCCCCAAAAATCGGGGCCACTGCCCCCCCCCCCCCTTAAAAATGGAAACGTGTCACTGAGCTCCAAGGTACGGCATTGAATTCTCGCCCCCTCCAACGGATTGTGGCTTTTGTGGGCAATCCCACCGCCCCGCCCCGCCCCGCCCCGCCCCGCCCCGCCCCGCCCAGCACCCTCCCGCCCCTCCTCCGCTCGCTGACAGGTGGGAGCTTTCTGGAGTTTTCGACGACACGGGACTGCAATGTAGCATCTTTATGTGTTGGGGCTCGCCTTTAAAGCTGCAGTACCAAGCGAGTTTCAGACCTGAATTTCTAACCCTACACCCTAACCCCAGCCTGAAAAATCGGGGCTCGCCTGTAAGGCTGCAGTACCAAAGAAGTTTCAAACCTGAATTCCTAACCCTACACCCCAACCCCAGCCTGAAAAACTTTCAAAGCCCGGACAACACCTGCACCCGAAAGCACGACGCCCCCCTCCCCCGCCCTGCCCCCCCGCCTCCCCTCCTCCCCCACCCTCCCGCCCCTCCCCCCCTCGCTGACAGGACTGTAATGTAGCATGTTTATCTCTTGGGGCGCGCCTTTCCGGCTGCAGTACCAAGGGAGTTTCAAACCTGAACTCCTAACCCTACACCCTAACCCCAGCCTGAAAAATTGGGGCTCGCTTGTAAGGCTGCAGTACCAAGGGAGTTTCAAACCTGAATTCCTAACCCTACACCCTAACCCCAGCCTGAAAAACTTTCAAAGCCCGGACGACACCTGCACCCGAAAGCACGACGCCCCCCTCCCCCGCCCCTGCCACGCCCTTTCGTTGGGATAGGCGGAGTAACGTGGTTTAAAAGGCTGTGATGCTTCCCTAATCCAAGACGCCCACGAAATCCACAGCCTCAACGGCCCATACTTAAGGCATCCCGCCGCTTGCGAGAGTCTTGGTATCCAGTGTTTCGGAATGACGACACCAAAATTCGTACTGATACTACCACTACTAATACTACTCACAATCATCCTGCTTCGTGTTGCTATGAACATTACTTTTACTATAAGTGCGATTCCAACTGTTACTTTTTTCCTACAAGAGCTTGCTGCAGATAGTAGCCACTCGCCGCATGCGCGTACAGCCGGGCCGAGGCGGACGACGCGCAGCGTTTCAAATTAAGGAATACCTAGGATTCCTTTTGAGGGGTCTATAAGGGATCTAATAGGGTTTAGGGCTTAGGGCTCTTACGCCTTAAACAAGAACCCAGTCTCCTTGCACTCCACCGCGGACACCGCAGAGACGAGCATGGGCGAAGGCCCCATAGAGACCTCCTCTGAACCCGAAGAGGGCCCGGGCCCCTTGGTACCTTGGCTGACTTCTGAATCCCTCCTAAAAGCTAAACTTTTAGCCTCCTAATTATAGCTCATCTAGAAACCCAAGAGCTAAAGTCCTAAATCCCCAAACCCTAACCCCTTTAGATCCCTTATAGGAACCCTTCAAGGAACCCTTAAAGGACCCCCTTAGAGGCCCTAGGCCCTAAGAGCCAAGGTACCCTTCCCCTTCCCCTTCAACTCCCTGGGCTTCATGAAGTCGGCGAGCCGAAGGCTCCTCGCCGAACTCCCTTCCTCCGAAGGGAGGCTCGGCTTCACGGGTGCCTTCCTGGGCTTTGTAACCAGGGAAAAGAAGGTATAGACTTGCATGTGGTCATCTTCCCCCTTTAACTGCTAAAGAAGTATGGTGCTCCAAAGCCCAGCTTCTTGCTTTTCGCCGCGAGGAGCGGGGATTCCACGGGCTTGGCCTTTGGGCTCTGCGAGGGCAGCTCCTGGCTGCCCTTGCGCGGCTTGCTCCGAACCTCCACCCAGTCCTCAACAAACAAAGGTATATCCTACACAGTTTTTGGTATATACTATATCATATCATGGTCCAGAGTGAGTAGCATCTCGTAACCCTATTCTGAACCCTTAAACCCGAAAAGCAGTCCTGTACCTCGATGCTTGGGCTGCTCCTCTCCGGCTGCACGTAAGGCGACACGGCTGCAGACTTCGGTGAGGCTTTGGAGGAGACCGGTGAGGATTTCCTGGGCAACTTAGGACTGAGCCATCTTGCGAACTACAAACCTTCTTTAAAAACCCTCTAGCTGAGGGCTCGTACGGTTGTGGTTTGCATAAAATTTCCGTAGGTATTGGACCGCTTCTTCAACCCGACAAGAACCCTCTAAAACCCGATCAATCAAAGCCCACAAGACCTACACATGAAGCACCTTTAGGACCCTAAAGACCCTGAACCCTAAACTGTGACCGGGGCGTCTGCGGTAGCGCCGGGGAGGTGCCTGCAGAGGCCTTTTTCTTCTTCTTGGTCTCGGCCTCTAGCTGCTCTTCCTGCAGGCTCTGAACCTGCAAAGCGTGTAAGGCTAAGGGTTCAGGGTGTTCAGAGTTTTATAAAACAGTCGTGTTTTAAAAACAGTCGTGTTTTATAAAACAGTAGTGTTTTATAAAACATGTAGTCGTTGTAGTGTTGTATAGCACACTACAAGAATGTTCAGGGTTCAGTGTTTAGGGTTCAGAGTTCCGGCTCCATGGTTTAGAGTTTAGGGTTTAGGGTCCAGGATGCTCCTTTGAAGCTCTGTCTAGCAAGAAGGGATCTTTAAGGTTTTGAGGAAGAGCCTTAGAGGGTAACACCCTAAACCCTAAACCCCTAAACCCTAAACCCCTAAACCCTAAACTCTAAACCCCAAACAAACAATGAAGGATGCTGGGCTTCAGCCTAAACCCTAAACCCGACGGGGCCTTTAAGATTTACATGGGGCTCCTTGTTCGGCCTTTGGCTTCGGATTTGGCCAAGCCCAAATGGAAGTTTCGTAGGACAGGAGCCCAAATATGCACCCTAAACGATAGAAACCCTAAACCCTAAATCCTAAAACCTGGAACCCTAAACCCTAATCCGTGTTAGAAATACCTGCAAGACGAACCCCCAACTTCAAGAAATGCCGAATCAAAAACCCTAGGAAGCCCTTGGAGTAATCCTTTTTATAGCCTTATAGATAAAGTAAACCGTTCCTGTTAAACGCTTGCCGCTTGAGATAACCCTCAGAAGAATCCCCAAAAGACTGCCCGATGTGAAAGCTTCGCCTCCGTGGCAGAGAAGTCCAAGCCCAATCGCTCTGCTGTGGGGCCCTGGCCTCCGGCTGTCCTGCAGGAATTTTCCCGTCCACTCTCCAGAAGGTGAGGGCTTGAAGTTCAGGGCTTAAGGGTTTAGGGTTTGGGGTTTTTAGGGTTTAGGGTTTAGAGTTTAGGGTTTAGGGTTTAAGACCTTGACCCCCAAATCCAAGACCCCACACCCTGAAGAAAGTTCCCTTGTGCGGTCCCGGGCAGGGACACGGCCAACAAAGACAGCACCTCTGAGGCGGCAGTGGACCATCGCCCCTTCCTTTCTTTTGCCGGGCGTCTGTTAGGGTTTAGGGTTTCCATAAACTCCTAGACCCTAAAGCCTTGCTAACGGCTCACAGATCCTTAGGAGCTTAGTGTTTCAATCTTGCAGAGCCTGGCAGCGCAGGAGGCGAAAGAAACACATACTGTCCTACGTGTAAAACCTGAAACCCTCAACTTTAAATCCGAAACCCTACAACTTTAAACTAATTCGCCTGAATACACCTTAAACCCTAAACCGTTTTAGCCTAAACCCTTAACCCTAAACCCACCCGTCTGAACCCTCAAACCGAATGCTCCCACCAGGTAAGCCCAAGCCTCCGGCAGGACTCCTGAATCCGCTTCAGCGCCTCATCATCCTCCTGCCCAAACCGGGTCTCAAAGGCCTCACGTTGAGGGTTTAGGGCTTGGGGTAAAGGGCTTTGGGTAGAGGGGTTAGGGTATGGCGTACAGGGTTTTGGGTTTGGGGTAGGGTGTAGAGTATAGGGTAAAGGGTATAGGGTATAGGTTTAGGGTTTAGGTTTTAAGATTCAAGGTTCAAACCTTAGGGTTCAGGGTTACTAGGTTGGCCCCTTAAAGCCTCTGAAGAATATTCGTAAATAGGGTCCTACTAAGCCCAATAAGGGAAAATATAAAATGTCCCAAAGGCCTACCTAGGTTAGGGTTTGGAGACCCTAAGCCCGTAAGCCCTCAGAGGCCTCGCCGAGACCCATGAAGAGCTCAGACTCGCCAGGGAAAGACGCCTGGATTTCGTACCTAAAAAACCTGAACCCTAAAACTCAAACCCCCTAGAAACCCTAAACCAAGAACTTAAAACCCCAAAACCCTAAAATTCAACCCCCCCCCCCAAAAAAAAAAAAAAAAACAGCTAAACCAAGAAGCCTCGATGTCGGGGCTCCCCGAGAGCCCGGGCGCGTCTCCCTCCGAAGTCTCCAGGGACTCGCTGCCGGGATGCCTCGCCCTGGCCGCCACCTCGGGGTTTAGGGGTTTAGGGTTTAGGGTTTAGGGTTTAGGGCTTTAGGGGTTTAGGGGTTTAGGGGTTTAGGGTTTTAGGGTTTTGGGTTTTAGGGCTTTAGGGTTTGGGGTTTTAGGGTTTAGGGTTTTAGGGTTTTGGGTTATGGGGTTTAGGGTTTAGGGTTTACCTGAGCTCTTGGGGTTTAGTTTAGGGTCCTCCATTCCCTACTAACCAACGGCAAGCCACCTCAAAGGCAGCGAGCACCTCCATGGGCAACCTGGGCTCTTCTCAAGGAACTTAGCCGCTGACCAAGTTCTACGTAATATCTGCGTGTACATGTATGTATGTAAGTATGTATGTATGTATGTATATATATATAGGAAGAGAGAGAATATGAATATATATATATATATATATATATATATATATATATGTGTATGCTAATGTGTGTATATATATATATATATATATATCATTATGCTTGTATAAACACACACACACACACACATATATATATATATATCATTATGCTTGTATAAAAAAACCTATGTAAATACTCAAAGGTTTCATTGTGGGCTTTCTTACACATACATACATAAATACCTACGTACGTACATACAGACAGACAAGCAGACCGACAGACAGACAGACGAACGGACGGACGGACGCACGTACATATGAGTCTACATATGTCTGTGATCTTTGGCATGATAACTGAAACCAAATCCTTTAACGATGGGCCTAGCGACTGGGAGAGCATGGGCAAGTGGAGCCTTGAGAACATCAACGGCGCATTCGCGCAGAGGAAACGGAATGCACGGTCCAGTAGCGTCGGACGGTTCAGCTCCCAAGCGATGTCGCAGACAAGACCGAAAGAGCGTGGGCTCAGCTTTGCACATAGCTTGTTCTCGCATAGCTGCTGCAAGGACAGGACGTTGGATTTAGGTTTGACCACGGCCTGTGCTCCTTCAGCCGCCTGGGATGCTTCGTCGAAGCAGGGCATGGTGTACTTCACAACTGCTGCCTGATGCTCAGGGCCACATGCGAAACAGGAAACCTGCGCCAGGTGCTCAAAGCGTTCAGCGGCCCAGTCGCCGTCAGGCTTGGAAGGGCGCTTCAATTGCCAGAGGTGGCGGGCATCCGAATCATCCACGGCCCACATCGTCCCTGCTTTCATTGCATGTCCGATCGCGTGCACTCCCGCAATCTCGATCTCACGCGGCCGGTCTGTCAGATCCGTGTAAAGAGCAGAGGGCGGGATTCTTTCAGGTTCCTCCAACAGCCCATCCGTCTCGATCATCACGAACTCACCGGAATCCCGTACCTCAGGCGCACTGGGCAGCCTCGAAGGCGGCACCGCCTTGGTAAGATTCAGCGCCACGAGGTCGGCCGTGACGGGCCGGCATGTCGTCGGCCAGACCCACAAAAGGCCGTCTGAATCGATACCGAAGCCTGGGCTTATGACAGCTGCGGCCACCGCAACCGGGAGACACTGTTGATGGACAAAATCCTGCATTACCCATTATAAGGAATATGCCATAGTTCCCATACTTTAGAGTCCTTCGGGTCATGCAGGATTTTGTCCATCAACAGCACCACGAATAATTGGCTTTCCTTCTTCAAGGTTCTTATAAGTTATTACAAAACGGAACCACCACAAGTACTAGGCACTTGGAAATGGGGCAACATAAGTCCCTTACCCTAAGGGTCCATGTACCTAAATGATATGTAACCCTATATGTGTACATTGGGCCCAAAGTATGTACTGCTTGGGCACATGGACCCTTAGGGTTAGCAAGAACCCAGAAGCATTCGCTGTCACTCACCGAGATCGCTCTCAAAGGACTCAGCTGCGTCCCGCGCTGAAGCTGCCAGTCGTCGTTTCCGCTCATCTCCGTGAGTTCCGGGTCTTTGCGACGGACGCGTCCGGGGGTGAAGAAGCGATTGTCGACGGGGTTGCGGCTGTCACCTGCCGCTGCTGCCTGTCAGCACGCTGTTGGATCATGACTGCGTGCTGCTTCAAGGAAGCCGACCAGGTCGAAAGTACTGTCTCAACAGAGAAGATCGCATTGTTTTGGGGCTTAAGGTGAAAATTGGGCCAAGAGCATTTCAGTCCAGGCGCTAGGGCCTAGGGATGGTATGGGGGTAACTTCAGCTTAAGAAATCCCTAGCTTGGACCTGCAGTCAAGCTGCAGCTATTGGAGAGCCGCCGAACATGATGGCATCACCGTGTGAGCCAACCAGGCACACACTTATGGTCCCCCCGGAATTCGTGTCGACACATGTTGCCTCGGCTGGCATCCATGCACTAAAGTTTCGGAGCCCGACATCTCAGGAGTTGGGTTGTGAAAACCGACAGCTGTACATGCCGCATCTCTAACCATTTGGTCCGGGGTAACACTTCTCCACGCTGTCTCCACCCTGACACAAGTCGAGAAAGAAAGAGAGGGAGATGCACAGAACAGGAGAAGGAACGAGGGGCACAGTGGAGTGAGGGAGCGAGAGAGCAAGCGGCGGGATAGCTAGCAAGCTATCTAGTGAGTCAATGAGCGAAGTGTTGGTATATGCAGGTCGACGGCGAGTGGATGAGCAGGCGAGCGCGCGAGATGCCCTGAATTCTGGAACTGAAGATCTCATCTAAGTGGCAGCTTTCAGGTGCGGTAGGCTTTGAGGCTGCGCAACCTGGCAAGGTCATACAACAACTTCGTCCGGCAGCTTGTTGCTTCATGCTCGTGCATTGCAGATTACATGGCACGTCTGAGCCGACGTGAAGTAAGGAAAGACAAGGAAGAAAGAAACAATGAAGAAAGGAAAGAAAGAAACAGAGATAGATAGACAGATAAGGTGTACCGATAGACAAATATGAACAGATAGACAGACGCACAGAGAGACAGAAGGAATGCATGCATGCACGCAACCAATGTGTATATATATATATATATACATGTATGTATGTATGTATGTATGTATGTATGTATGTATGTGCGTACCTATGTATGTATGCATGTACGCAAGAATGTACGATTGTAAGAACGCAGATGTATGCGTATAGCTGTATGAGTGTATGAGTGTATGGAGAAAATGTATGTATGTACGTATGTATGTAGGTAGGAAGACATGTATGCAAGTATGTATGTTCTGCAAAGGTACATAGATGTATACACGCAAATGTGTATCTCGGGACAGGAATGCAGGAAGGAAAGAATGAAGGAAGAGAGAGAGAGAAAGGTATTGACGCATGGGTGCGCACTCGTTGCTTCTACAGGTGTGCAGGTATTTTCGTGCGTACCTGGCTAGTTACATGTCTTGCAATGTGTTCACGTAGGCGGTTCATTCCCTTGCTCCCTCTTTGTCTTCTCCTTATTTGTACATCTCTCTGTTCAATATTCAACTTCATCTTCATACCTGTGCATCTATCCGTTAGCCTTCGCACGTACATGGTTTGGCGCGAGAAGAATGCTGAGGAAAATGGTTTACGGGGCGTGGAACAATCTAACCCAACATGCCGCTACAACCCCTAAATGCCAAACCCTAAACCCTAAATGCAAAAACCCGAAATGCAAAACCCTAAACCCTAAACCCTAAATGCAAAAGTCCCAAAATCCTAAACCGCTGAACCCCCGAGCCCAACACCAAAAAGTCTCTCTTTCCCCTACCCCCCAAAATCAAAACTCCGGAGCCCTCGGAAAGGACTGGGTATAGCAACCCTCATAGTAACCTTATAGTAGCCCTTATAGTACCCCAATACCCTTATAGTAACCCTTATAGTAACCCTTATAGTACCCTAATACCCTTATAGTAACCTTATAGTAACCCTTATAGTACCCTAATACCTTTATAGTACCCTGATAATAACCCTTGTAGTAACCTGATAGTGACCCTTATGCCTGCAGGGGCCCCGAAGGAGGAGCTCCCAAACCCAAAGCTCCCCGGCCGTTGCAGCCCCAGGCCTGAGTGACAAAAAGTAGGGTTTAGGGTTTAGGCTTTAGGGTTTAGGGTTTAGGGTTTATGGTTTAGGGTTTTAAGAAAACCATAAGGATTTAGGATTTAGGGTTTAGGAGTGACAAAAAGAAGGTTTCCTTGGAAGGGCAGGGGACTTAGTAAGGGATCTTAAAGGGCTCCTTAAAGGGATCTATTAAAGGGATCTACGGGGTTTAGGGTTTAGGGTCTACTTGAAGGGGCAGGGGACTTAGTAAGTCGTTCATAAGTAGGGTTATAACTGGGGTAACTCCATTTAGGGTACCTATAACTCTACTTATAGCCAACTTACTAAGTCCCCTGCCCTTCCAAGTAGGCTTTAGGCTTTATGGTTTAGGGTTTCGGTTTAGGGTTTTAGGGTTTAGCATACTTTTGGCACTTTTTATGACTGTACTGGTATTGTAATTGTTGTCACCATGCTGAATGCCATTCTGATTGGCATTGTTACTAACCATTTGTTGGTATAGCTTGTGTTGTCTTTTTATCAGCTGGTATTAGAGACAGTCGCTTCAATTTCAATCTTCTTCTTGCTCTCTAGTTATGACTGTCAACTGCGAATGTAATTCCACTATGTACTAACTGTCTGCTTCAAATTCTTGCTACCGGTACTACTAGTATTGTGATCAGTAGTGCTGTTAGTTGTTTATTGTTTTGTTCATACAAAGACCATAACCTCTGCCATAAATTATCGCAACCATCGTCTTGTGTTAGTATAACCCTTTCTAGCATATATCACATAGACGATCATGGTGCTTAGCAGATTATTCATGAGTCTGGCTGCTCTTATGAGTTTCCTGCCATGGTTGACGTAGTCGTTCTTATACTTCCCACTTCCATAAACCCGAAATCCTTAACCCTAAACCCTAAATTCCTAAACCCTAAACCCCGAAACCCACAACCCTGAACACTAAACCCACAGTTGTTATGTACAGACAGGTTGGCAGCGCTTGACTCTTCCGGAGCCGCTGGGGTTTAGGGACCTGAGGGAAGAGGGTTTAGGATAGGATTCCGGATTTATAAGGTTTGGGATTTCAGGTTTAGGGATTAGCCTAGTTGCTGAGTTCATAAGCCCCAATCAGTGTACACTTTCAGTTATATAGTGGGTAATATTACCCCAGAAACATGTAAAGTGTATCCACTCAGCTACTAAGTTGGAGTTAGGGTTGAGGCTCCATGTGATTCCAGATCCCGTCGTGACCGAGAGCCCCAATTACCCAAAGCTTCCCTCCAGCTCCGTGCATTCCTCAACTTGTGATCGCAGGGTCTGGGTTTGGGGTTTAGGGCTCAGGGTTCAGGGTTTAGGGTTCAGGATTTGAGGATTGGGATTCTGGGTGTAGGGCATTTCCTGGTCCAGGCGGCATACACGCTGCCTTCCCCCGCGATGCAGAGGGAGTGCGCAGCTCCAGCAGCAATGTCACTGACACGGAGTTTCTGAAAGGGCCCCACCTGCGATGGCGCACCGCAACGGCTGACGGAAATGTCGTTGGCAAGACTAGTGTCAACGCTGCTTCATGTATACTCTGTTCAAAACTTTGAGGTACGGCAATGGCATGCAACTGCCATAATCGGTACTGCTGTCGTTTCTAGTTGTAATTGACCGTATGCCAAAGTATGCGTCTCGTTGGCGATCTTTAAAAATGTGACTTGTGATGCAAATTCGACCTTCACAATGGCGATTGTAACTATGCTGTCTCTGGTCTTTGTGCTCTCGTCAGTCCACTTCGTGCCCAGCCTCCCTTGTTTCATCGGCCCTTCTTTCCGTTGTCCGTCTCGGCTCACTTATCTAACATGCTTACTTGAAGGATCATGGGACTTAGTAAGTAAGGGTATAAGTACCTTATTTGCAGTTATAAGTGGTTATAAGTCGAGTTACCATAGTTATAACCCTAGTTACTAAGTCTCATGATCCTCTGAGTACATATCCGTCCTCAGACAGACTCTCACTGTTAACTTTGGAATTCCCACCATGAACTCTTCATCCAGCTCCTTAGGGTCTTAGGGTTTAGGGTTTTCGGGTTCAGGGTATAGGGTTTAGGGTTCAGGATTTAGGGTTTAGGGTTTAGGGATCTCTTCTTCTGGCTACTCGTAGCTTATCGCTTACAACTCATAAGTTCACTGCTGTTGCGAAGTCACCCCTGCCTTCATCACCACTGGCTGCAACGCAGTCTCCCCTGGCTGGCCACAACCGAGCTGGCCCTCGGCCAAAGCAATAGGAGCTTGGGCTTCAGTCTTGAGCGAAAGGAGTTTTGGGGGCTGCAAACACGGACGCTTCCGAAAACTAGGGGTGCCTGTTTCGGGGTCCTTAAAATAAGGATCCTACTATTTAGGGTACTATATTAGGGTCCCTATTTTCGGAAACTCCCACATCGCCCCAGGTTGGGATGATCCGGCGGTTGGCCAGACTGTACAATGTCTCTTTGGGGAGCCACCGAACAACTGGCGATGCCAATCCAGATGGTCTTGGATAGGCAGGTCTCCACATCCCAGACCCCCGGGAGGATCCAAAAAGTAGATCCCTTCATGGGGGTTCCTGTAAAGTACCCTTAGTAGTATAGGGCCCCAAATTAGGGGATCTACTTTCTAGATCCTCCCGAGGGTCTAGGATGCAGTGACCGCACCCGGCTGAAAAGCTGCAAATCCCGTACCCGACAACCGAAGTCCACAGCCCGATCCATCTAAGTTGAGCCTGGCCCTAAAGCCAGAGAAGCTCAAAGCTCAAAATTCTCTACCGAACCCACAGAAACCCTAATATAGGGAGCCTTAATAATTAACTAAACTATTTTGGGGGGTTCAGAAGCCTATTCTAATTATTAAGACCCCTATGTTAAGAGCCTGAACCCTTCCCCAACCTCCTTGGAACCCTAAACCCTAAACCCTAAACCCTGGCCTTGTCGTTGGCACCCCACACGAGCAGCTTCCCGGCGCTGGTGAGGGCCAAAGTGTGGTTCAAACCGGCCACAGCTTTGGTCGCATGATGCCGACCTGGCTTGGGGTAAAATAGAACCATTTAAAGGAACCCACTGAAGGAAGCCTGCCTAACTATTACGGCTTGGTTTACGATAGAACCCTTTAAAAGAACCCACTTAAGGAAGCCTACTCTAACTGTTACGGCCCCTGTCTTGCAGGATTACAGTTTTTGAAACACTGACGGTTTGGAGATCCAGATGCATCTATAATGCATCGTTGGAATTGACACGAGGCCTGGATCAGGTGGATTGCTCAACCCCTCCGAATGCCATCAGTCTTGAAAACCTAGCCCCATCCCTGAAAATCATCTCCTCACTTTTAACATCTTCGCGCCCTGAAATACAAGCCCAAACCGCTGAACGCAGATATGAAACTTGAACCCCTAAACTGGAAACCAACAACTTAGGTACGGCCCCCATACAGTCAGAGTCCATAATAGGGCTACTACCACGGTCCTACTATATCTATATTATGAAGATTATTCAACTATTACTGAGTGGGGGCCGTACCCAACCAACAACCGAAAAGCATCAGCATTGCATAATCCCTGGCTGCTGAGCCCCGGGCCGGGAAACCGGAACCCGAAACCCTGAACCCTTGCAGAACCCTTCTGGATTCCTTAGAAGCTGCCCCCACCCTGTAATAGTGACTATAAGGATTATATCAGGGCCCGATTATGTTCCTATTATACAACGATTACAGGGTGGGGGCCCCTTCTCATGGATTCCTCACAAAATCCCAGTGAAGCCGAACTCCCCCTATCCCCCTAACCCTGAAGCCCTAAAACCAAAACCCTAAACCCACAAAACCCAAAACCCAAACCCTCAAATCCTAAACCCTAAACCGAAAAGCTCTAAAATCCTACGCCCTGAACCTTAAACCCCTAAACCCTAAGCCCTAAACCCTAAACCGAAAAGCCCTAAAATCCTATGCCCTAAACCCGAAGCAGGCTTGAGGCCAGCGCCGGGCCCGAACTGGGGCAAGGCCATCGGCTCCACCACCACCGCCTCCGCTTTTCGGGGTTTGTGCAGGCATTGTATGATCTGAACCATCCTTGCTTGGAGGTTCATGGGTTGTTATATGTAGGGTTATAAACAAGTAGGATAACTATGGTTATAGCCGGTATTAAGAGACTTATACCCCCACTTAAACTACCCATGAACCTCCAAGTGGTCCTCGTGATGGCGAACGAGATGGTAAGAAAACATTCGCATTTTGGTGGGTGACTAACTGCAGAAATCTGCGCGCATTTTCTGGTTGTGCACAAGGACATACCAGAAGAATCTCGGCCTCAGTCTTCTTGGATAGCTCCAAGCCAAGTCTTCCACTGGCGCCACCGACACCCCACGTGAAGACGCGGCCTTGTTTCTTGGTTTAATACTGAACGGTTCAGGTTGATCTGAGCCCTGGAAAAGCCGTAGCTTTTGGTGCTTAAGGAATTGAGGGTGTGAGGCCTTGTTTGCTGTGAGTCAAGAAAGATAAATGTTAAATGGGTGGCACTTCATGATTATGCTGCTGTTGCTCATCGCGTTGCTGCTACTGTTGCTGCTACTATTGCAGCTGCCGTTGCAGTTGCTGGCAATGTTGAGCTTTTTGATGAATGTTCAGTTGCTACTGCATGCCTGAACCCTAAACCCTAAACCCTGAATTCTGAACCCTGAACCCTAAACCCTAAACCGTAAACCCTAAACTGCCGAGAGCGCCGCTGACCATTTGCATGGGCGCTCGAGGCTCCGACCGACACCCCCGGCCGAGCGTCTCGACAAGACGGTGAGGGCGGGTAAAGCCTCCCGGTATACGGGGACGGAAATGACTCGGCTACGCCTCACACAATACGGACGTCAGTCCGTTATAATGAGGGGGTGCCCCCAGGAGGGGTCGGGGGCCCCAGGCTGGCCGATTCCAGGGACCCAGGGGCCCTGCCCTGCCCTGCTGCCTTCTGCCCTGGCCTACTCCTCGCCCTGCCCTGCCTCTTCGAGCAGCCCTTGCGGGGCGCGACAACCAAGTTGTTTGTTGGAAACGCTTCTTTTCGCCGAGCGGCCGGCACAGGCCGCGAGGACTCACAACCCGACAGCAATCCATTTCAGCTCTGATTTCTGCAGAAATATTGTTGTACATGTCGAGCTGCGAAAAGAAGCAGAGAGCAAGAAAGCCCCCCTTGGAGGGGGGTTTGGGGGGTGAACCCTGAACCCTAATTGAGAATAGTTGGGGTGGTTGGGGCGGGACTACATGCTGACGCAAGCGCGCGATTAGTGGGTGCGCCCCATATTCCTAAAGTACAAGGAGCACCCACCGCGCGCATACTGTTACAAACCCTGAACCCTAAACCCTAAACCCTAAACTCTGAACCCTAAGGCGGCTACTCCCCTCACGTTTCTTAGGACTGCCTCTTAAACATGAATCGAGTTATTGGGGAGGAACAGCAGCAGTTTAAGGCCATTCTTTAGGGGAACGGTAGCAGTGTTTCATGTACAGTCCCTGCGATTCCTGGGCTTTCGGAGATCTTCCTCCCATCTCTGGGCCCTCTGATCCTGCAGCCCAAACACTCAAACCCAAAAGTCTCAAAAACTTCGGCCGGTAACAAGGAAGCTCTGGTTTAGGGTTTAGGGGTTTAGGGTTTAGGGGAGCCTCTCTTCAGAGGAATTCACCATCCAAACAACACTGACAAGCGGCCGCACGCAGTCACTGCAGTGCTGTGGAAGCGGCCGCAGGACAAATGCCTGGCGCCCATCAGTTTTTTTCAAGCCCAGGATACGCGCATGGCATGATTCGATTCTTGAGGTCGATGGCTGTTTATGATCGTCATCATCGACACACTGCCAGTCTGCGCAGCGATGACCACAACCATCATCATCATCATCATCACCATCATCGTCAGCAGCAGCGGCAGCAGCTGAGAACGACAACTTGGCGAGCATTGCCGGCATCACCTCGATGCTGTTCGGAATCTCTACGTTCATACTCTTGCTTGCTTCGGACATCATTAACCACAGCATCATCAACAGCGTCACTATCATCCTCATTAGTGCGGTGTCTGTTGCTTCTTCCTCTCAATATCCACATGCTCATACTCATCAGAGGCTCCTGAATTGCTGACAAACCGTCGCACCCTCGTTTCCAGAAACAACATCAAGTGCCACGACACCGCCATCATCAGCAGCAGCATCACCAGCATCACCATAATCAGCATTTGGATTCAGGGTTCAGGGCTCAGGGGTTTAGCCGAGGCGGAGCCACCAAAATATCAAAAAAGGGGCCGAGCAGCTGAGCATATACGGGAGTTTCCGAAAACAGTGGACCCTACTATAGTACCCTAAATAGTAGGATCCTTATTAACGGATCCCAAAATAAGGTACCCCCCGATTTTCGGAAACTCCCATACTCTTCTTGGCTCCAACAGCCTCGTTAACCAACTAATATAGGGGGCCTTCATGATTAGAATAGGGTTTGGGGGCCATCATATTTTAAATATAATAAAGAACCTCCCCCCCCCCAAAAAAAAAAAAAACAACAAAAATATAGGTAATTATTGGTAATTATTAAGGACCCTATAGTAGCACATCTGTGCGGTCCCTGCATCAGTCCTGGTTCTCCGGAGAACACGTTCCAGGGCAGATAAGATGGACCAAAACCGCAAACCTAAACCACAAAGGTTTAGGGGTTTAGGGTTTAGTTTTCTGGGGTTTAGGGGTTTAGGGTTTAGGGGTTTAGGGTTAAACCTTAGACTCTCAACCTAAAGCCTGAAACCCTAAACCCTAAACCTTCAAGTCTCAACCTGAAACCTTAAACCCTAAACAACCATAAACCTCGCTACACAACCAGGTACCATAAACCTAAACCCCACACGCTAAACCCTAAACCCCACACCCTAAAGCCTAAACTATTAAACTCCTAAACCCTAAACCCTAAACTCCTAAACTCCTAAACTCCTAAACCCTAAACCCGAAAACACCTAAACTCCTAAACTCCTAAACCCTAAACTGAACCTAAACCCTACACTCTTTGCGGACGAAGGCACGTCACCAGCTTGGCACTGGGGAGCTGCACCTGCCCGGACGGGTTCGGACCGGGCGCTAGGAGTTTAGGGTTTAGGGGTTTAGGAGTTTAGGAGTTTGGGGTTTAGGAGTTTAGGAGTTTAGGGTTTAGGGTTTAGGGGTTAGGAGTTGTTTTAAGTGCACTGACTCTTTCTCCACTCCGAGTTTATGGTTTCGGAGTTTAGGGTTTAGGAGTTTCGGCTTCGCGGCTCCTCTCTGGCTTTGGGGCGTAGGCTTGTGGCTGACGAGCTATGTTGCTCGGGCTGGTGGTTGTGTGCTCAGAAATCCGAGGAAGTTGGTTTTGGGCTTAGGCTGTAAGCTGGCTTTTTGGACCGAGCTTCCGTAGGACCCGCCAAACCTGAACCCTAAACCCCTAAACCCTACACCCCGAAACCCCTAAACCCCAAACCCCTAAACCCCCAAACCCTAGACCCCGAAACCCCTAAACCCTAAACCCTAAAACCCTGAACCCCTAAACCCCCAAACCCCTAAACCCTCCAAACCATCAACTGGGTCTCGTGAGTAATGGGGCTTCGGGTTTGGATTCTTCGTCGAACGCTGCAAGCCTGAAGCAGGGGCGCCTGCAAGGAAAGAAGGGGCCTGAATTATTAGAATAGGGCTCCTTTAAAGGGGTCCTTTAAAGGGCTACTATAAGGGATCTAGAAGGGTACTACAATATAGGGGCCTGAATAATTAGACTAGGGTTTTGGGGCCCCATATACTGTAACTCTGAAAATGAACCACCAAAATAGTATTGGCAGTTAAATTTAGGCCCCCGTAGTACTGCCGTAACCTGGATGGCCGAGGGCTTTAGGGCTCAGGATTTAGGATTTACGGGTTATGTCTAGGGCTTGGGGGTGTAGAAATTTTGGATAAGCATTGACTTGTCGCTGTGCCGTGACCCCAACCCTATTGTCTCTAAGCCAAAGATCCCAAACCAACCCTTTCCTTCCCATCCCCCAAGCCCTAACCCGTAAGCCCCAGACGCGTGGAAACTTTATAGAACCCGTATGGCAGCCCTTCTTCGATCCCAGCTTGTGGATCCTTTCATCCGAAACCTCAAGTTCTTCTTTTTGCAGCCGCCGCGCCAGCTTCGGGATCTGTTGTTCGGTGCCCGCCCCATAGCCCAGCCTCTGCTGCGCTAAGACAGAGAGTTTAAAGACGACGATGCGGACTATACTATGCGGTTTCGGGTTTAGGGTTTAGGGATTGCTGTGCTCCCTAAACCCTAAACCCTAAACCCTAAACCCCTAAACCCTCAATCCGATTGAACTCCAAACCGTGTGGGCTTGAAAGCACCCAAGAAGCTGGTAGTTGGTGGCCCGGCCCCAGGTGTAGAGCTCGCTCTGCTCATTAGGATCCACCGGCTCCTTGGAAAAGAAGGATAATGTAGGGGCCTTAGTTGTTAGAATAGGTTAGGGTTTAGGGGCCTTAGTTGTTAGACTAGGGTTTTGGGGCCCATGATGTGAACCCTCCCAAAAATGTTATTGGAAATTGTTGAGGCCCTTACATTACTCGACAGCGCTGCAGGTGCTTAAAGTCTTCAACAAAGCGCATCGGCGCAGGCTGCACCTGCTCGCGTGCTGCCTGCTGTCTCGAGGTGGCGCGAACAGAAGGGGTCCCCTCCTGCGAACATGAACCTGATTGGGGTGGCTCCAGAACGCTTGAGCACGCCGCAGGTGAGCAAGTCCTGAAGCGCAAAACCAAGCCTGGCAATCATCTGAGCAATCACACAGACATGCAAGCGAGAACGGCTCCAAACCATGCCAACAAGCGCAGCTGTGACAGCGAGCTGCAGAGTCTATGCACGAACACAACGACGAAACGGCACAGACATTCCTTCCACGTGGTCAACATTCCCATCTCAGACTCCTGCTCGATGATACTATCCACAACAGCTTACTGACCATCCATTGCTGAATTCATGCTGGTGACTGCGCATCTCAAACCCTAGGCAAAAAATATTTCTGTTGAGAGGTATGCTCAACGCATTGTACACGCCGAGTGTACCCCGCACAGTTGCAAGCCAATGAAAGGGACAACGCAACCGCTTGTCGGCGCATCTAAACACGGCACTGTGTCTAAGTGCGAAGGGGCAAACAACACGACAAGTGCTGCGGCCAGCACCACACGCCGGGGTGCGTCCAAATCGGTGGCGGGGCCAGGCCAAAATCAAGCACATCAGGGAAAACACCTGAAAACACAATCCGTGCAGCTACACGTAGATGCGCACTCAGCCTTGGCAATTCCAACACATGGCACCTTCAAAGACGCTGTCTAACGCCTCCACCAGGGCGTCAAACAACGGACGGGCGCAGTGCCCCTCAGGCATGCCAAGTATCCACACGCCGCTGAAGCTGGGATCTTCACCGGTCGGATTACGGCAACGCCAGACCCTGGCGAAACTAATGTAGGAACCTTGGGCCTTTATCAGGGTTCCTTATAGAAATCCTACTATTTTGGGGGTTATAGGCCCCAGATATCTTAATCAGCTCCCTACATTAGAATCCCGCAAGGCCAGCGTCGATCCCCCAAACAGTGAATCGGATGTGCCTGCGGTGCGCCTCGCACGAACCCGAAAAGGCGCCAACCCTGAAACCCAAAACCTTGTTTAATCTTAGAAAGCCCGAACCCCAAAATACGAATCCATGAATGCCATATCTGCTGATCTACACAGGTGCATACATACATACGTAAGCACGCACGCACGTACGTACATACATACATACCTGCCTACCTACATACTTACTTACCTCACAGATCATTCGACTTGACACATCACAATTTATTGCAATACTCTACAATACAACACAAGACCAAACGTCACCTTACAATACAACACAATACAGTAGAAATGAGAATATACAGTAAGCTACACTGCTCTGCACTATATTACAATGTCCTACACATACATATACACAAATGCGCAGATGCACATATACTTGTACATACACATGTGCATATACATCTGCATCTGCAAATAGATATCCATACACATACTCATAAACATGCACATACACCTTCACATATCCTTCTACACACACATATACATATGCGCACATAAACATACGCAAACGCATACACATACAAATACACACGTACATACATACAGACAGACAGACACGCGTACTTAGATACATTCTTGCAGACACGCATGCATGCAGACGGACAGCCAGCCAGACAGACCGAGAAACAGAGAGACCGTCCTACATGCATGCATGAATTAGTTCATTCACGATCATGCATTCATTCACTCACTCACTCGTTCATTCATTCAGTTAATGGGCTACATGCTTGCAATACAACATCATCCCACAGTATACGTACATAAACAGATGCATGCGCGCAGACATGGCTACATCCACCGACCTGCGCACCTACTCTACACACGCACACACACAACATCTTAACTGTGTGGTTGGGTACCCTAAATATTAGGTGCCGTACTATATTAAGGACCCAAAAAGGGACCCTAATTTTGACAACCACCCATATTTATAAAGAAATGTACGTATGGACATGGAATTGCAGATGCAGAAAGCCCCCAAGCCCAAAACCCTAAACCCTAAACCGACAAGCTTCGAACTCCGCCTCGGACTCACTGTCGGAGCCCTTGTCAAGGCTTCCGGCTCTGCTGATGTTAGTTTTTGGCGCCTTTTATTTGAGGGTTTAGGGTTTACAAGGTTTAGTTTAGGGTTTAGGGTTGAGAGTTTAGGGTTTTTAAGGCTTAGGGTGATCATTTTGGCTTTGAGGGTTTAGAGAGAGCTCAAGTTTTAGAGTTTAGACGCAGTTGAGGGAGAGAGCCATGGCGGTTTTGGCGGCTTAAGATTTGAAGGGAGCTTAGGTTTAAGATTTTTAAGCTCTATAATTATCGTTACGATTCAGAACTCAGGACGAACGTTTAGGGTTAGCGCTTCGAGATTAGAAATAGGATATATAGTTGCAGGTTCTGTTACCGGCCGTATGGTACAGCGACTTCGGAATTTCGACTCAATCTTCAAGACACTGAACCCCAAACCCCCGAAACCCTAAACTCCAGAAACCTAACCCCCAATACCCTAAACTCCTCGAACCCTAAAATCCTGTCGATGCCTCCTCTTTGCAGCTCTTCGCCTCCATCCCCACATCCTGGGTTCTTGGTAAGGGATGTAATTTAAGTTACCGTAATAGGGAAACCATATCATTTACCGCAGGTTCCTGCTATGGCAACTTAAACCTTGAACCCTAAACCTTTCAAGGAACCCTGATAGATCCCTTAAAGGAAGCCTCATAGATCCCTGAAAGGAGCCCTCATAGATCCCTTAAAGGAACCCTCATAGATCCCTTAAAGGAGCCCTTATAGATCCCTTAAAGGAATCCTCATAGATCCCTTAAAGGAGCCCTTATAGATCCCTATGCATTCCTCAACAAGGGCCCAGCAGCGTCCAGGGCCGGGACCCGTGCGGCGGCCTGGAAGACGGCGGGCTCCGTCCCAAGGCCCGCGGAGAGCTGCCTCAGGGATCGCAGTGCCTGCACCGAAGGTCAGAGTCATAATTAATAACAACAAAGAATAAGAGTAAGAAGAAGAAGACTGAGAATGAGAATAAGAAGAAGAATGCGGAGAATAGTAAAATATACCACCAACCCCCATTTTCATTATTACGATTAATCATATTAAGGCCCCTCTATTCTGGGCTTTCCGGTTCCGGCTCTTTTCTTGGCTCGCCTTCTCCATGATCACGGTGGCTCTGGCAAGGAATCCAGGCCAGAAGCGCCAAGGAGGCTGGCTCCACTCAAACCTGGCTTTGCGGCTTGGGTCTCATTCGTTCCTGGGGGGGTCTTTGAAAAATTCCGAGCTGTTCCCAGAGACTCCAATATCCCGTACTTACGGAATGTTCCTTAAATCTAAATCATAATAGGGATCCTAGTACAATTTAAGGGATGTTCTTAATTAAAGGATATTGGAGTCTCTGGGTTTTGGGTCTCCTTCGTTCCTGGGAGGGTCTTTGAAGCCTCCGATCTGCTAGGGAAACAACGCAAAGAGAGAGGGTCTCTACTAGAACTTGGGTACGGCCCCCGTACAGTAACAGTCTATAATAGGGCTACTATTAAGGGCCTTATATATCTATATTATGAATATTATCCAACTGTTACTGAGTGGGGGCCGTACCCAAACTAGAACCATCATGCTCTGACTCCACAGCTGCAGCCCGAAAGGCCTTGAGGCTCTGCGATCTGCTCCTTCCTGCGTGAGATCGGATCTTCTGTGCTTCGTTTCAGTTCCACCGAAGTGGCGCCGGGCTCCCCCACTGCACGGGAAGCAAATCACATTTCCATCGCCGGAATTGGGATAAACAAAAATGCCTGGGTCTACTCGCAGCCAAAACTGCCGGAACAAAATGCTTGCAAGCCAAACGGTTCCGGTGCTGAAACACCGGAGTTTGTTGGAACCCAGATGAACTAGAAACACAAGCTACTACAATCGGCTACCTCTTGCAATGGCCGCTTGACAGCAACCCAAACTCGCCAGCCTCTCAACCCTCATCTCTAATCCCTAAACCCTAACCCTTAAACCCCTAAAACCCCAATCCCTAAAGAAACTGGGGCTTCAAAGTGTTCCACGGAAACTGCCACCGAAGACCAAACTTCCTTTTCCGGCTCAGGGATCATCTGCTGGCTCGCCGTAGCGCATGACGTTGTAAAATCGGTCCATGCTCAGCTGGCCCTCATCATCTGCGCCAGCCTCATCTGTCTGGTAGTAGGGAAGGGGGGGATGGATCCCTATAGTAGCCCCTACCTAAACCTACTAAACTCTACTTTTTTGTAGTAGGTTCTTATTATAAACCTTAATATTGAATTTATAGGGACCCTACAAAAAAGTAGGTTTTGGTAGGTTAGGGTATTCCCAATTCCAATAGTAGTCTCCATAATCCGGCCTCATCATCTGCCCCAACCTCTTAGTCAAAGGTCGTGTGCTTGCGAGTTTGGGGCAGTGGGGCCACGGGTCGAAGAAACGGTCGGGGGTAAAGGACCTGGAAGTGTAGTGCGGGGTGCTGGTTTGGATTTGGTCTTCTTTGCGGCATGGGCTCGGACTACAAAAGCTTGAGGTTTAGTTTGGGACCTGGGAAGCCATGCGGGGCGACATCAATTGATCCTAAACCCTAAACCCTAGACCCTAAACGCTAAGCCCTAGACCCTAAACCCTACGGATCCCTACGGACTGTTGGTGAGCCTCGTCTGCAGCTGTCGAGCCTAGGCATCGGCTTGGAGGCCCCTAGGCTTAGGAAGAATCATCCATGTTCCTGAATCCTTAAGCCCTAAACCCTCAACCTCAAACCTTACAGTAAAGGCCCTAAAACCCTCAACCCTACACCGTAAACTCTAAACCCCAAACCCCTAAACCCTAAACTCTAAACCCTAAACCCTAAAGCTAGGAAACCCTCAACCACCACTTCCTTGCCGCCTTGTCCAGCATGGCCTGGAGGTCGGCATCCTGCTAAGAACAAAGCAACTTAATGACTAGAGTAGGGTCTAGTTTAGGGTTTAAGGGTTGCTTTAAGGGGTTCTATAATTGGGTACTAAAAGGGCACTGTAACTGTAAGGTTATAATATAGGGGCCTTTATAGGTAGAAGTGCTGTTTTGGGTTTTGGGGTAAAATATATAAGGAAGCCTAAAGAACAGTATTACGCATTGTTCAGGCTTCTAGATTTTTATTCAAGAAGAATCCGGGTTTCCAACAGGCCAACCAGGGAAGACTTTGTTAGTTTGTGAGAGAGTTCTTTGCTGTAGCATAAAGAATACTCCTGTGACTAAGGGAGTGCGGAGTCTTTGGGCGGCAAGATGACAGCAGACGGCGGTTTTGCTGGCTTCGTTGTTTGGTGCTGAGGCCGTCGTGCTGAATTTTACGAGGGATTCTGCCTTTGGGATGTTGTGAATGTGCAAAAAAAAACAGTGCGTTTGGAGCCATCGAGCCAAGAAAACACTGCGCAGACCGTAGTGTTCGAGACGTTACTTTGAAGAGGGGTCTGGAGGCCAAACAGTGGTTTGTGAACATGCTGCTCTGTTGGACCTTTTTCTTCAGCATATGCCCCCCCCAATGCCTTCATCATGTTTTCATTCTCCGGCAAGTCAACTCGCCAGACAGACCCGTGAACGGACGGTAACAAAGTTGGTGAAACTCCTAATCCCGGGCCTTCCTTGCTACGCAAAGCATGTGGCACTTTGGCTTATGGATGCTCTGCGTGAACGGACGGGGTCTGAGTGGACGTTATCATGGTTGGCCAGTGGCTGCTCTGCGTGAACGGACGGGTCTGAGTGGACGTGATCATGGTTGGGTCATGGATGCTCTGCGAATACGGATACGGTCCGGGTGGACGTTATCGTGGTTGGCAAATACAGAGCAGACCCAACAAAACCACCAGGCAGGGATGTGCCTCCACTTACTTGTCCACACAGCAGGAACAGACCACCGGTTTCGGGGGGAAATTAAGGGAGGATGAGCAGCAGAAGGAGAGGGAGGAGGAGGAGCTGGTCGACGAAAACGAGTACCGCGGTGCGCTACATTATCACTTCCGGTTGGCCCCGAACCGAAAACAGCCGAAGCCACGAGCTGTGAAGGGCGAACTTCGCATGCAGCGGAAAACTAAGTCCTCTTTACTGCCAAACCCCAAAGCCCTGAACACTGCAGGCCCTAAACCCTGAACCCTAAACCACAGCCCTCAAGGCCCGAAACCCTAACAGCTTTCAACTAAGTCTAGCTCCTGGGAGTCCAAAAATCATGTCGTTTAGCCTGCCCTGGTAAGGCAGGGGACTGATTAATCAGAATAGAGCTTTTGGCGTATATGGTATACTATAGCCATACAAGTATTTTATATCATAACCTCTGAACAAAGGTATCAATACGAATGCAACGATGCACAGACTCTACTATAGCCATAAAAGAGCTACAGGAGTCGGATCTCCGCAGCTCAGGACGGGCCCCCTCCTCCATTTCGATGCCCAAGTCGTCCTCGGGTTAGTGGGGCTTAGGGAGGCGGGCTTTCCAGTTTAGGGTTTAAGGCGTTTCAGTTGAGGGTTTCGGGTCTTTCAATTCAGGGCTTAGGGTTTAGGATGGTGCCATAGAACTCACCACCAGGAACAACACCACCACTCCTAGCAATGACATCTGCTCCTGGGCAACATGCTACTACCACGACGACGACGATGACAACTACTACTCCTGCTCCCACCCGTAGTCCTACTGCTACTCCTACTCCATTGCTTCTGCTACTGCTCAAGGAGGCCGGATCCGGCAGGTCTCGGCTGAAGGCCCGGGATCACTGCTCTTCCTCATTGAAATGGCAATGACTCAAATCACTGGGGTTTAGGACTTAAAGTTTAGGATTTAGGGTTCGGGGATCATAACCTCTTCTCATCATCGTCAACCGAGTACCTACGCTGTTCGGTATCCAAGCGACCCCATGAACCCTAAGCCCTCCACCCTAAACCTGAACCCAAACCCCGTGAATCCTTGACCCTAAACCACAAAACCTTACCCCATGTCACTCCAACACTACACAAACCCGAGGCCAGAAATTGTGAGAACCACACAGAATCCAAGTGCAGCTTTGGGCGCTACTAAGCGGCGCATGTCCGCCAGGGTGACGCAGTCTGTGCGCGGCTGTTTGGGTGAAGGGTTCAGGGCTTAGGGTTTAGGATTCAAAAGACCTTCGGATGTTGCGGGTGTGGGGCCTCTTCGGGTGTGGGGTGTAGGGTGTTTCATGGTGTTGGGCGTGTATGGTGTTGCGGAGTTGCTAGAGCTGTTTATAAGGCTTCAGGATGTCTGTTTGGGCGGTTGTTTTCTTTCAGGTGGGAAGGGGGAGGCGGGTGCGGGGGGGGCCTTTGGCGTCCTGTTGAACCCTAGACCCTAAACCCTAAACCCCAAACCCTAAACCCCAAACCCTAAACCCTATACCCTCAACCCTGAACCCTGAACCCTAAACCCCAAACCCTAAACCCTAAACCCCAAACCCCAAACCCTAAACCCTAAACCCCAAACCCCAAATCCTAAACCCCAAACCCAAGACCCTAGACCCTAAACTCCGAGTCTCCAAACTGGGCGAAAAACTTCGGGTTTCGGGATCGTATGGGTTCAAGGCTTTGGAAGCCTGCAGGGCTCAAAGGGTCATACGGTGGATGATATAAATCCTGTGGGTTCCTGTAAAGGGATCTATAAGGGTACCTTTAGGGGGCTCCTCTCAGGGATCTATAGGGTTTTAATGTTTAGGGTTTAGGGATGTAAATCCTGCATTACCCATAATAAGGAATATACCTTAATTCCCATAGTTTAGGGTCCTTAAGGTAATGCAGGATTTTTATCAGCAACAGTATGGGGGGGCCTTCTTAGTCAGACTCGGGTTTCGTGATTACAGGACCTGCAAGGAGGTACTGCTCCTGACCATTCAGCTGAATAGATAGACTAGGGTTTGGGGTAGATATAGTACAGCAGAAAGCAAAAGGCACTACAAGGAGCTAATTCTTCAGGTCCCTCTTTTTGAAGAGTTGAAGCCTCCTCTGTATAGTAGGCACGTCTCAGGCGCTCGCAGCAGCATGCGAGGGCTAGAACAAGGCGGAGTCACTATGCGAGACCGAGATAAGCTCTGCAAAGAGTTAGTGGAAGTCGAACTCCTCCTTTAGGGGTTTAGGGTTTAGGGATTAGGGTTCAGAGCTTCGGGTTTAGGGTTTAGGGTTTAGGTGTCTAACAGCTCTTGCCCACACAGAGTTCTCCTCTCTATTCAGCAGGAAGACTCGCAGGCCAGTGCGTTCAGCAGCTTGGCTTTCCACGTAAAGGATCATGGGACTTAGTAACTAGGGTTATAATGAGGGCAACTCCACTTATAACTACCTCTAACCCCAATTAAGGTACCTATAACCCTACTTACTAAGTCCCATGATCCTCCAAGTAGACCCTAAACCCTAAACCCCATAGATCCCTTTGGGGAACCCCTATAGATCCCTTTAAGGAGCCCCTTTAAGGAACCTTACTAAGTCCCATCATCCTCCAAGCAGTGACAGTCTGGATGCGCAAGAGAACGTGTGAACCCATCAACCCGAAGCCGAAGCCGGGAGACGCTGGCGCTTAACCCCACCCAGTTTAGGGTTTTAGGGTTTTAGGGTTTAGGGATTTAGGGGTTTGGGGTTTGGGGTTTAGGGGTTTAGGGTTTTAGGGTTTAGGGATTTAGGGGTTTAGGGTTTGGGGTTTAGGGTTTAGGGATTTAGGGATTTAGGGTTTGGGGTTTCGGGTTTAGGGAAGCCTGAACCGTAAATCTCCCTAAGACCCCTCCTGCTTTCACGGCTTCTTGGCCGAAAAGGTTCAGCAGCCGCGACCTTGCGCAAGCGCGAAAGCCACACAAGGAACTCTCGGGGGTGAAGCTCGACCGTAGATTGGAAACTTAAACCCTCAACCTACACTAGAATAGAAGGGGTCTACAGTACGGTTCTATAACATAGGGGCCTTAATATTTAGAATAGCCCCAGATCTTGATCCCCAAAACCCTCAACCCTAAACCCCCAAACTGGATTTCTTTTCATGAGCTTCTTGAAGCATAGGGTGGGAGACTTTGTCGGGCCGGGCTTTGGGGTGAGAGTTTTAGGGCTCAGCCGTAGCAGCAGCAGCAGCAGCAGCAGCAGGAGTAGTAGAAGTAGTAGTTGTGGTAGTAGAAGCAGTAGTAGTA